ACGGCGTGCTGCACTCGCAGAGCGAGCGTTCGCTGCGCCACGTCTTCGCCCCGAAGGCGCACGGCGGCGCGCACCTCTGTGCGGCGAGCGCGGCGGTGCCCCTCGATTCGCTCGTGCTGTTCTCGTCGGTGGCCGCGCTCATCGGCGGCGGCGGGCAGGCGAACTACGGCGCGGCGAACGGCTGCCTCGACGCGCTAGCAGCTTCCCTGCGCCGGGGCGCCAGGGCTGCCGCCAGCGTGCAGTGGGGTCCGTGGAGCGAGGTCGGCATGGCAGCGGGCGGGGCGGTGTCCACCCGGCTGCAGGCGGCGGGGATCGGGCTGATCGGGGTGGCCGAGGGAGTGGCCGCGTTTTCGGCGGCGGTGAGGCCAAGGACTCCGGGCGTCTTCTCGGTCTTTGCAGTCGACTGGCGCCGCTACCTGGCCACGCTGCCAGCGGTGCCTGCCCTGCTGAGCAGGATGGCTCCGGCGGCGAAGGCTGGCAGGCCCATCGGCGCAGCGCCGGCGTCCTCGACGCGTGGCAGAGTTGGCCTCGACGGCGTGCTTGCGGCGCTGCACCAGACGACGGGCAAGCACGTCGGCCCGGACGCGCCTTTGATGGAGGCCGGCCTCGACTCGCTCGGCGCGGTCGAGCTGCGCAACCAGCTGCAGGCGGTGGCCGGGGACGGCGTGTCGCTCCCGAGCACCCTGGTCTTCGATTATCCGACGGCAAGGCATCTAGCGTCGCTCCTTTCGGACGCACCCGATCACCGTGGTGTCGCGACGCCGTTGGTTGCGGGGACGCCTTCTCGCAGCGACCGGCCATCGCTGCAGTCCGTGTCGGCCTGCCTTCCGTCTGGGGTTACGTGGGCAGGCTCGTTCCGTGCAATGACGGTCAACGCGCAGGACGCAATTGGTCTGATCCCACCCAGCCGCTGGAACCCCGCCGTGGCGAGGCCAGTCGACGAACCCACGAGCATCTCGGCTCGCATCGAGCACGGCGGCTTCCTTTTGCACGCTGACCAGTTCGACGCGAGTGCCTTCGGTATCTCGGCGAGTGAGGCCGGCACAATGGACCCGCAGCAGCGGCTGCTCCTCGAGCACAGTTTCTCTGCGCTTCACTCGGCCGAGCACTCACGCGCCAGCCTGACTGGCAGCGTGACCGGAGTGTTCGTCGGGATTTGGAGCAGCGAGTTTGCATCCGAGTGGCTCGTTTCCGGCCCGCTCTCTAGGAGCGTGTACGCCGCCACAGCCGCCACTTGCTCCGTTGCCGCAGGTCGGATCTCCTTCGCGCTTGGCCTGCAAGGCCCATGCGCGGCATACGACTCTGCGTGCTCAAGTGGCCTCGTCGCGTGCCACAGCGGCGCACACTCTCTCGGCACCTCTGGCTGCGGCGTAGCCGTCGTTTGCGCAGTCAACATGCTCTTCAGTCGCACTGCGAGCGCTCGTGCGGCGCTGGCCGGCATGACCTCGCAAACAGGAAGGTCGTACAGCTTTGACCGCCGGGCCGATGGGTACGCCCGTGGCGAGGCGTGCTGCGCTGCAATCCTGGAGACGGGGAAGGCGAAGACAATGCTGGGTGGCACGCTACTTGGCAGCTGCGTGCGACAGGACGGCCGCAGCGCCAGCCTCACCGCGCCCAACGGGCTCGCGCAGCAGTCGCTCCTCGAGGCGGCGCTCGCCGACGCAGCCGTGGTCGCCGACAGCCTCGCCTGCTCGGAGGCGCACGGCACGGGCACGTCGCTCGGCGACCCGATCGAGGCGCGGTCGCTCGCCGCGGTGGTGCTCGCCCGGCGCGGCGGCGGCGAGGCGCTCGCGGTGGGCAGCATCAAGGCCAACTGCGGCCACGGCGAGCCGGCGGCGGGCGCGGGCGGCCTGCTGCGCCTGTTGCTTGGTCTGTGCGGCGCCGAGGCGCCGCCCAACGCGCAGCTGCGGGTGCTGAACCCGCACGTGAGTGCGGCGCTGGAGGGCAAGGCGTGCGTGCTGCCGACTCAGCTGGCGGCGCTGCGCTCGACGGCCGCGGCGGCCGGCTCGCAGGAGGGCGGCGTGAGCTCCTTTGGCTACAGCGGCACGATTGTGCACGCGGTGTTGCGCGCGGCGCCCGGCGAGGCGGGGCGCGGGGCGCTTGCCCGGCGGGTGGAGTGCGGCCCGCAGTACCGTCGGCGCCGGTTCGGCTGGCGCGAGACGCCCCACCCGCTCGCGGAGGCGCGGCTTGACGCGGCCGGCGACTGTGCGGCCGTGCGGTTCCGGTCGGCTTCGGACGGCGGGCTACGCTCGCTCGTCGCCGACCACGTCGTTCTCGGGCGGGTGCTCTTCCCTGCGGCTGGCTTCCTCGAGATGGCTCGCGCGGCGTGCGCGGCGTGCGCGGCGTCGCGGGCGGCCGAGCTCGGCGCCGACACGCCGGTCGGCTTGCGGCGCGCCTTCTTCATGCAGCCGCTGCCGCTCGGCGAGTCGGGCGGGCTGTGGGTCGAGGTGTCGGTGGACGCGGCGGCGGAGCGTCTCGAGGTGGCTAGCTACGGGCAGGAGGAGGGCGCGGCGCGCACGGCACACTTTGCGTGCGGCCTGGCCGGGGCAGGCGCCGAGCCCGGCGGCGCGGCGCCGCCGTCGCTGGCGTCGGCGCGTGCGCTCTGCCCTCGGCCGGCGGAGCTGCGGCAGCTGTACGCGGCGTTTGAGCGGATCGGCCTTCAGTACGGCGGCGGCTTCCGCACGCTCGCCGCGGCGTGGTCGAGCGGCGGCGCGGACGGCGGCGCGGCGGCGCGGCTGCGGCGGCGGCGCTGCTTGGGCGGCACGCAGGTGCACCCGGCCGACCTGGACGGCGCGCTCCAGCTGACGGCTCTGCTGGCCAAGTCGGCCGGCGGCGAGACGCGGCTGCCCTTCTCGATTGGCGAGGCGTCGCTCGGGGTGCCGCGGGGCGGTCTGTGGCCGGTCGCGACGCGCACTGCCGCGGATGCGCAGTGCGTCTGGCTCTTGGGCGAGCAGCCATCATCGGCTGGGACGGTGCGTTTGGGCGATTTCGAGACCAAGGCGTTGACTGCGCCGGGTCCCGTCGCGTCCAAGTCGGGCGCGAAAGTGCGGTCCTGGCGCTACGCTTGCGCGTGGCCTAGCGTGCGCTGTGATCTGCAGGATACCCCTCCAGATGTCAAGCTGCTCGTGCTGGACGACTTGGGCGGTCTCCTTACGAGTTCACTGCCGACCAGTGCCGAGCACGCAGAGACGAGCCCAGAGCCTCTCGAGGGCAACTGGAAGGCAGTGGTGCTTGCGGCAGGCCTCGCGCCTTCAACGTACCGACTGGATGCCCTGCGCAATGCGCTCATTATGCTGGTGCAGTGGCAGAGCACTCGCTCGGCGATCCCGCTCTGGGTGAGCACGCTCGGCGTTCAACCCGTGCGAGCGGGAGAGGGAATGGTTCGCTGCACGCACTCTGCAGCGTGGGGCTTGTCGCGAGCGTGCCGGCAAGAGGGCGTGCTATCGTTGCACTGCTTGGACCTCGATGCAACGGCCGACTCGCTGAGCTTGGCGGCTCGAGTGGTCCTCCAGCCGTCGATCCAGCCTGCCGAGGGAAGCGTGCGTGGCTTGCGTGTCGGCCCCTCGCTCGAGAACGAGATGGTGCTTCGCCGCGACAACCTCCACGTTGCTCGCCTCGTTTCGCCGTTCGAATTGGACCGCGTGCCGGCGCGCCTGACGATCGCGCACAGGGGTGCCCTCACGGGCATGAGCTTGGAGCCGCAGGGTGAGTTTGAGTCGGAGCTCTTGAGCAGCGAGGTCGAGGTTGAGGTGCGCGCAGTCGGACTCAACTTCCGCGACGTGCTCATCGTGCTCGACCAGTATCCCGGACCGCGCACAGAGCCGGGCACGGACTGTGCCGGTGTGGTGCGCCGCGTCGGCGGCAACGTTCGTCACCTCTCCCGCTTCGCCCCCTCCTTTGGCACTGCATTCGGCTGCCTGGCGGCGTATGCACGCACCGATGCGCGAATGCAGGTCGCCAAGCCGGCGGCCTTGTCGTTCGAGGGGGCCACGACGCTCATCAGCACTTGGTGCACCGTGCATGTCGGCTTCGAGCGGATCTCCCTCCGCGGGCGTCGCCGGCTCCTTCTTCACGCCGCCGCGGGCGGGGTTGGGCTCACGGCCCTCGAGTACGCGCAGTGGCTCTGTGCGCCGGCGCTCTGCACGGCCGGCGCGCCGCACAAGCACCGGCTGCTCCGCCGCCAAGGTGTGGCGCTCATGGCCAGCTCGCGCGACGCCGCCGCATCCACACTGGGCGCGCAGCGCTACCTGTGCGGTCTGCGGCTGCATGCGGTGCTCAACAGCCTCTCCGCCGACTTCATCTCGGCGGCTTTCGCGCTGTTGGGCGAGCGTGGGCGGTTCGAGGAGATCGGCAAGAGAGGCATCTGGAGCCAGGGCCGCGCTGGAGCGATCAGGCACGTCGCTTACCAGGCCTTGGACTTTGCTTTTGACGTCAGCCAAAATCTGAGCTGGTTTCAGCGCTCGGTGCTTCGGGTCCTCGCGCAGCGCGCGTCAGCCGAGGTGGTCCACAGCCTGCCTGTTTACGAGTTCGACATTGTCCACCGAGTCCAGGACGCGTTCCGCTTCCTGGCCAACGGCAAGAACACGGGCAAGGTTGTGCTGCGCATGAGCTGTGCACACGTCGCCCCGGCTCTGCAGCTCGGCTTTGGCGCGCTCCGCAGCCGCCTCGACGCCAGCGCGGGAGCGGCGGCCGCGGCGATCGACCTTGACCGACTGGCCGACGCGCTCTCCCTGCTTGACCGGCTGTGCCGCCAGTTCGTGCGCGAGGCGTTGAAGGGCCTCGACCCGACGACCGTCGTGAAGTGGCACCACAAGCTGCTGCTGCAGTGGTGCGCCGGCGCCCGTGACGGCGGGGAGGGGCAGGTCGACGGAGCCGCTGTCGAGCGGGCGCACGCCGGAGTGGCGCCGGAGGTGGCGCTGGCGTCGAGGTGCGGCCCGCACCTCCGGGCAGCGCTCCAGGGCACGACTGCGTACCAGGAGCTGCTCTTCCCCGGCGGCTCGATGGACGCCGTGCTTCCCGTCTACCAGGACGCCGTCGTCGCCAACTTCTACAACGGCGTCGTGCTCGCAGCCGTGGAGGCGGTCGTCGCCGGGCTGGAGGACGGGCGCCAGCTGTGCGTGCTCGAGGTGGGCGCCGGGACCGGAGGGACCGCGGCCATGGTTCTGCCGGCGCTGCAGAACGCTTGCGCGCAGTACCTCTTCACGGACGTGTCGGAGGTCTTCCTGCTGCAGGCGCAGCAGCGCTTCGCCGAGTATGCGGGCTTCATGCGCTACGAGCTGCTCAACATCGACGCCGATCCTCGGCTCCAGGGCTTCGCCCTCGCGCAGCAGCACCTCGCGATCGCCACCAACGTGCTTCACGCGACGCCGTACATTTGCAACACCCTCGCGCACTGCCGCCAGCTGCTCAGCCCGGGCGGGCTGCTCGTCGTCAACGAGGTGCTCGAGACGAACGCGTTTGCGCAGATCACGTTTGGCATGACGGATGGGTGGTGGCTCTTCGCTTCGGACCCTGCGCGCGCGGGGCAGCAGAGCCCGCTCATGAGCTGGGAGCGGTGGTGCACGCTCTTCGCCGACGCCGGGTTTGCTCACAGCCACGCCGTGCGCGGCGGCGGGGTCCTCGATGGCCAGGCGGTGATGGTCGCGCGCGTGAGCGAGCGGGGCCAGCTGCTCGTTGAGCCGCAGGCGCGCTCGGCGAAGGGGACGCACGTGCTCACAGGCGGGCTTGGCGGGCTCGCGCTGCTCACGGCCCGCGTGCTAGTCGAGCGCGGCGCCGACCACCTCGTCCTGGCCTCCCGCAGCGGACGCGTGCAGGCGGGCAGCGAGCCCGACTTCGCGTGGCTGCGGCAGGCTGGCGCCGAGATGGAGCCGATTCGCTGCGATGTGGCCGACTCGCACTCGCTGCTCGGCCTCGTGCGCGGGCTCGTCGGGGCGGCGCGCCCTCCGTCGGGCGTCCACCACGCGGCCGGCGTGCTGTCGGACGCCGCACTCGCCAACCAGACGATGCGGCACTTCCGCACCGTGTTCGGCCCCAAGGTCGGCGGCGCAGCCAGCCTGCACCGCTTGGTGCAGCCGCTGCCACTCGGGACGTTCCTCTCGTACTCGTCGGCCGCGGGCCTGCTGGGCTCCGCCGGGCAGGCGCCGCACTCAGCGGCAAACAGCTGGCTCGACTCTTTCGTCCACTGGCGGCGCGCCGAGGGCGTGTGCGGCCATGGACTTCAGTGGAGCGCCGTCTCAGAGATTGGCTACGCGGCGCGGCACGGGGCGGACAAGCGCTTGGCCCAGGGCGGCATGCACCCGATCGATCGGTCGATGGCGCAGAGTGCTCTCGTGGAGGCCCTTGTCGCGCGAGGGCCCCTCCACGTACTGGCACTATTGCCGGCGGATTGGAAGGTGATGCTAGGGCAGGCGGCACAGGTGCCTGGCTTCCTGCTGCCGTGGAAGTTGCGCAGCCAGGGCAAGGCGGTAAGCGCGGTTAGTCGCCCACAGCCGACCTTGGCAGCTGCATCCACTCCGCGCGTGACTTTGCCATGGATGCTGGACATGCTCAAGAAGACGGTAGTCGAAAGCGTGGATGCTGACGTGCCTTTGATGGAGGCCGGCCTCGACTCGCTCGGCGCGGTCGAGCTGCGCAACCAGCTGCAGGCGGTGGCCGGGGACGGTGTGTCGCTCCCGAGCACCCTGGTCTTCGACCACCCGACAGCCCGCCAGCTGGCCGCCTTCTTCGAGGCGGACGCGGACGCCCCCGTCACGGAGGCGAGCGGCGCTCCGGTGTTTGGCGCTCGAGTCACGTCGAGCGTGGGCGCCGACATCAGCGGTGCGAGCGCCCAGCTACCGGACGGGTGCGTTGTGCTCGGTCAGGTGTGGCAGCTGTCCTCGTGCGGGGTGGACGCGGTGGCTGAGGTGCCGGCCGATCGTTGGTCGCTCCCGCCCGCGCCTCGCTCTGACGACGTGGTTGCACGCCGGTCGCGCCACGGCGCCTTCCTCCGTTCAATCGACGGGTTCGACTGCAGCTACTTCGGCGTGTCGCCAGCGGAGGCGAGCGCAATGGACCCGCAGCAGCGCTTGCTGCTCGAGCGGGGCTACGGCGCTCTGCACGCAGCCGGCCTCGAGAGGGCGTCGCTGAAGGGCAGCCTGACGGGAGTGTTCTTGGGGATCGGGGCTGGCGATTTTCATCCGATACTGATGGCGAGCTCGAAGGGCCGAGGTGTCTACAGTGCGACAGGAACTAGCCATTCGATTGCTTCGGGCCGCCTGTCGTACATCCTCGGCATGCAGGGGCCTGCTGTCTCCTACGACACTGCCTGCTCTGCTGCGCTCACAGCCAGCCACGCGGCCACGAGTGCGCTGCGGCTCGGCGAGTGCGAGAGCGGGCTGGTGGCCGGCGTCAGCTTGATGCTGCTCCCCGATGTGAGCCACAGCTTCGCTGTCGCGGGCATGCTGTCGGCGCTCGGCCGGTCCCACACCTTCGACCGCCGGGCCGACGGCTTCGCCCGTGGCGAGGCGTGCTGCGCGTGGCTTCTGCAGGGAGGCGCGACGGCTCGCCGGCCGGTCGCCTCGGCGCTGGGCAGCTGCGTGCGACAGGACGGCAAGAGCGCCAGCCTCACTGCGCCCAACGGGCTCGCGCAGCAGTCGCTCCTCGAGGCGGCGCTCGCCGACGCAGCCGTGGTCGCCGACAGCCTCGCCTGCTCGGAGGCGCACGGCACGGGCACGTCGCTCGGCGACCCGATCGAGGCGCGGTCGCTCGCCGCGGCGGTGCTCGCCCGGCGAGGCGGCGGCGAGGCGCTCGCGGTGGGCAGCATCAAGGCCAACTGCGGCCACGGCGAGCCGGCGGCGGGCGCGGGCGGCCTGCTGCGCCTGTTGCTTGGTCTGTGCGGCGCCGAGGCGCCGCCCAACGCGCAGCTGCGGGTGCTGAACCCGCACGTGAGTGCGGCGCTGGAGGGCAAGGCGTGCGTGCTGCCGACTCAGCTGGCGGCGCTGCGCTCGACGGCCGCGGCGGCCGGCTCGCAGGAGGGCGGCGTGAGCTCCTTTGGCTACAGCGGCACGATTGTGCACGCGGTGTTGCGCGCGGCGCCCGGCGAGGCGGGGCGCGGGGCGCTTGCTCGGCGGGTGGAGTGCGGCCCGCAGTACCGTCGGCGCCGGTTCGGCTGGCGCGAGACGCCCCACCCGCTCGCGGAGGCGCGGCTCGACGCGGCCGGCGACTGTGCAGCCGTGCGGTTCCGGTCGGCTTCGGACGGCGGGCTACGCTCGCTCGTCGCCGACCACGTCGTTCTCGGGCGGGTGCTCTTCCCTGCGGCTGGCTTCCTCGAGATGGCTCGCGCGGCGTGCGCGGCGTGCGCGGCGTCGCGGGCGGCCGAGCTCGGCGCCGACACGTCGGTCGGCTTGCGGCGCGCCTTCTTCATGCAGCCGCTGCCGCTCGGCGAGTCGGGCGGTCTGTGGGTCGAGGTGTCGGTGGACGCGGCGGCGGAGCGTCTCGAGGTGGCTAGCTACGGGCAGGAGGAGGGCGCGGCGCGCACGGCACACTTTGCGTGCGGCCTGGCCGGGGCAGGCGCCGAGCCCGGCGGCGCGGCGCCGCCGTCGCTGGCGTCGGCGCGTGCGCTCTGCCCTCGGCCGGCGGAGCTGCGGCAGCTGTACGCGGCGTTTGAGCGGATCGGCCTTCAGTACGGCGGCGGCTTCCGCACGCTCGCCGCGGCGTGGTCGAGCGGCGGCGCGGACGGTGGCGCGGCGGCGCGGCTGCGGCGGCGGCGCTGCTTGGGCGGCACGCAGGTGCACCCGGCCGACCTGGACGGCGCGCTCCAGCTGACGGCTCTGCTGGCCAAGTCGGCCGGCGGCGAGACGCGGCTGCCCTTCTCGATTGGCGAGGCGTCGCTCGGGGTGCCGCGGGGCGGTCTGTGGCCGGTCGCGACGCGCACTGCCGCGGATGCGCAGTGCGTGTGGCTCACTCGGCCAGCCGCGTCGCTCTCGCGCGCGTGCGTGCTCGATGACTTCCGAGTCAGGGCAGTGGCAGGGGCTGCACACGCCTCGCCGGTTGCCCAGCACGGATACGCCACGTCCTGGATCGTGCGCGAGGCAGCCGCGTCGTCCACGGTGGAGGTGTCGCTGCTGCACTCCTGGTTGCGGCCGATGTTGCGGGCACACGCAGTGACGCCTGGAGGTGGCGTGGCCATCCCTGCCGCGCGCTCGCTGCACGCCTCGGCACACCAGCCTGGGACGGCAGCCATTGGCCACCTTCCTCACGCGGAGGCAGCGCTCGCGTTGTTGCGTGCGGCTTGCTTCGCCACGCTGGGCCCATATCCTGCGACGTTCCATGCATTCCGATCCCCTCAAGCGCCGCTGGCCGGCGGCGAGCGGCCACTACACTCGGGGCTGTTGGGGATGCTGCGCTCTGCTCGCCAAGAGGTCCCGTCCGCCACCATCTCGTACGTCAGCTTGGCGGACGAGGCCGAGGACATGTCGCGTGCTCTTGCGATGTCGTCGGAGTGGCTGCGGGCCGAGCCTGAGACGGCGCTCGATCAGGGCAGCCGCCGCGTCCCTCGTCTGAGCCAGCTAGCGCCCTCGGCGGCGGGTCCTGTCCAGCTCTACTTTGATGCGCGTGGCGTGGTGTCTAACCTGCATGTCATTTCGCAGAGGCCGCTCGCAGACCCGCTCGGCTCCGGCCAGGTGGAGCTGCACGTGCATTGCGTCGGCCTCAACTTCCGCGACGTGCTCAACGTGCTCGGCGCGTACCCCGGAGACCCCGGCCTGCCCGGCGGGGACTTTGCCGGCGAGGTCAGCCGCACAGCTCCGGATTCCGCCCCCGTCGGCCCCCTCGCACCTCGCGCTGCGATCTATGGCTTCGCATCGGCCGCGCTCGCTTCGATCGCGCGGACTGGCGCTTCCCTGGTTGCGTGCCGTCCGGCCGCCGTCAGCAGCGAGCAGGCGTGCTCTCTTCCGTCGACGTGGGGCACGGCACACTTGGTGCTCATGAGGTCGAGGGGATGCAAGCAGCACCGCCTGCTGCTCCACGCCGGCGCTGGCGGGGTCGGGCTTGCCACGTGCCAATACTCGACATGGTTGGCACTGCAGAGCCACACCACGGTTGGACGACCCTACAAGCATCGCTTCCTACGGGCTTTGTACCCGTCCTCCTCGAGCAGCTCCCGCGACGCAGCGGCCCTCTCGATTGGAGCATCCAGCTCGCTGCTTGCGCGCCGGCTCCACCTCGTGCTAAACAGCCTCTCGCACGACTTCATCTCGACCTCGACGGCGCTGCTGCGGGAGGGCGGGCACTTCGCTGAGATCGGCAAGCGCGGCGTGTGGTCCCGGGAGAGATCCCAGCAGGCGTCGCGTGCCGGCTACACCGTCGTGGCGCTGGACGACGTCCTGCAGCAGTGCCCGCGCTGGGCGAATCACATGCTCCGTCTCCTCTCGCGACGGGCTGCGGCGCACGTCCTGCGAGGGCTGCCGATTCTCGCCTACGATCTGGAGCGGCACGCGGTAGCCGCCTTCCGCTGCCTGCAGAACGGGGCGCAAGTTGGCAAGGTCGTCGTTCGGGTGCAAGGAGGCCTCACCGAGTCGGTGTGCCTCCGGCAGCACCTCCTCTCGGGCGGGACTGGCGGCCTCGGGCTCGTGGCGGCGCGCTGGCTGGTGGAGGGTGGCGCGTCGAGGCTGGTGCTGGCGTCGCGGACTCCGGCGCTGCCTGCCGCCGCCGCCGCGTCCCTCGTTTCGTCGAGCGGCTGCAGCGTGCTTCTCGCCAGCTGCGACGTGGGCGAGCCGGCCGCCGTGCGCCGGCTCCTTGCGGGCGCTGGCGTGGGCGGCATGAGCGGCATGTGGCACACGGCGGGCGTGCTAGCGGACGGCGTGCTGCACTCGCAGAGCGAGCGTTCGCTGCGCCACGTCTTCGCCCCGAAGGCGCACGGCGGCGCGCACCTCTGTGCGGCGAGCGCGGCGGTGCCCCTCGATTCGTTCGTGCTGTTCTCGTCGGTGGCCGCGCTCATCGGCGGCGGCGGGCAGGCGAACTACGGCGCGGCGAACGGCTGCCTCGACGCGCTAGCAGCTTCCCTGCGCCGGGGCGCCAGGGCTGCCGCCAGCGTGCAGTGGGGTCCGTGGAGCGAGGTCGGCATGGCAGCGGGCGGGGCGGTGTCCACCCGGCTGCAGGCGGCGGGGATCGGGCTGATCGGGGTGGCCGAGGGAGTGGCCGCGTTTTCGGCGGCGGTGAGGCCAAGGACTCCGGGCGTCTTCTCGGTCTTTGCAGTCGACTGGCGCCGCTACCTGGCCACGCTGCCAGCGGTGCCTGCCCTGCTGAGCGGGATGGCTCCGGCGGCGAAGGCTGGCAGGCCCATCGGCGCAGCGCCGGCGTCCTCGACGCGTGGCAGAGTTGGCCTCGACGGCGTGCTTGCGGCGCTGCACCAGACGACGGGCAAGCACGTCGGCCCGGACGCGCCTTTGATGGAGGCCGGCCTCGACTCGCTCGGCGCGGTCGAGCTGCGCAACCAGCTGCAGGCGGTGGCCGGGGACGGCGTGTCGCTCCCGAGCACCCTGGTCTTCGACCACCCGACAGCCCGCCAGCTGGCCGCCTTCTTCGAGGCGGACGCGGACGCCCCCGTCACGGAGGCGAGCGGCGCTCCGGTGTTTGGCGCTCGAGTCGCGTCGAGCGTGGGCGCCGACATCAGCGGTGCGAGCGCCCAGCTACCGGACGGGTGCGTTGTGCTCGGTCAGGTGTGGCAGCTGTCCTCGTGCGGGGTGGACGCGGTGGCTGAGGTGCCGGCCGATCGTTGGTCGCTCCCGCCCGCGCCTCGCTCTGACGACGTGGTTGCACGCCGGTCGCGCCACGGCGCCTTCCTCCGTTCAACCGACGGGTTCGACTGCAGCTTCTTCGGCGTGTCGCCAGCGGAGGCGAGCGCAATGGACCCGCAGCAGCGCTTGCTGCTCGAGCGGGGCTACGGCGCTCTGCACGCAGCCGGCCTCGAGAGGGCGTCGCTGAAGGGCAGCCTGACGGGAGTGTTCATCGGCATGTCGTTTCACGACTACGAAATCGTTTCCAGTCGAGCAAATGGTTTTCGCAGTGTCTACAGTGCGACAGGTAGTAGCGCCTCCGTTGCGTGTGCCCGCCTGTCGTACATCCTCGGCATGCAGGGGCCTGCTGTCTCCTACGACACTGCCTGCTCTGCTGCGCTCACAGCCAGCCACGCGGCCACGAGTGCGCTGCGGCTCGGCGAGTGCGAGAGCGGGCTGGTGGCCGGCGTCAGCTTGATGCTGCTCCCCGATGTGAGCCACAGCTTCGCTGTCGCGGGCATGCTGTCGGCGCTCGGCCGGTCCCACACCTTCGACCGCCGGGCCGACGGGTACGCCCGTGGCGAGGCGTGCTGCGCGTGGCTTTTGCAGGGAGGCGCGACGGCTCGCCGGCCGGTCGCCTCGGCGCTGGGCAGCTGCGTGCGACAGGACGGCAAGAGCGCCAGCCTCACCGCGCCCAACGGGCTCGCGCAGCAGTCGCTCCTCGAGGCGGCGCTCGCCGACGCAGCCGTGGTCGCCGACAGCCTCGCCTGCTCGGAGGCGCACGGCACGGGCACGTCGCTCGGCGACCCGATCGAGGCGCGGTCGCTCGCCGCGGCGGTGCTCGCCCGGCGCGGCGGCGGCGAGGCGCTCGCGGTGGGCAGCATCAAGGCCAACTGCGGCCACGGCGAGCCGGCGGCGGGCGCGGGCGGCCTGCTGCGCCTGTTGCTTGGTCTGTGCGGCGCCGAGGCGCCGCCCAACGCGCAGCTGCGGGTGCTGAACCCGCACGTGAGTGCGGCGCTGGAGGGCAAGGCGTGCGTGCTGCCGACTCAGCTGGCGGCGCTGCGCTCGACGGCCGCGGCGGCCGGCTCGCAGGAGGGCGGCGTGAGCTCCTTTGGCTACAGCGGCACGATTGTGCACGCGGTGTTGCGCGCGGCGCCCGGCGAGGCGGGGCGCGGGGCGCTTGCTCGGCGGGTGGAGTGCGGCCCGCAGTACCGTCGGCGCCGGTTCGGCTGGCGCGAGACGCCCCACCCGCTCGCGGAGGCGCGGCTCGACGCGGCCGGCGACTGTGCGGCCGTGCGGTTCCGGTCGGCTTCGGACGGCGGGCTACGCTCGCTCGTCGCCGACCACGTCGTTCTCGGGCGGGTGCTCTTCCCTGCGGCTGGCTTCCTCGAGATGGCTCGCGCGGCGTGCGCGGCGTGCGCGGCGTGCGCGGCGTCGCGGGCGGCCGAGCTCGGCGCCGACACGCCGGTCGGCTTGCGGCGCGCCTTCTTCATGCAGCCGCTGCCGCTCGGCGAGTCGGGCGGTCTGTGGGTCGAGGTGTCGGTGGACGCGGCGGCGGAGCGTCTCGAGGTGGCTAGCTACGGGCAGGAGGAGGGCGCGGCGCGCACGGCACACTTTGCGTGCGGCCTGGCCGGGGCAGGCGCCGAGCCCGGCGGCGCGGCGCCGCCGTCGCTGGCGTCGGCGCGTGCGCTCTGCCCTCGGCCGGCGGAGCTGCGGCAGCTGTACGCGGCGTTTGAGCGGATCGGCCTTCAGTACGGCGGCGGCTTCCGCACGCTCGCCGCGGCGTGGTCGAGCGGCGGCGCGGACGGTGGCGCGGCGGCGCGGCTGCGGCGGCGGCGCTGCTTGGGCGGCACGCAGGTGCACCCGGCCGACCTGGACGGCGCGCTCCAGCTGACGGCTCTGCTGGCCAAGTCGGCCGGCAGCGAGACGCGGCTGCCCTTCTCGATTGGCGAGGCGTCGCTCGGGGTGCCGCGGGGCGGTCTGTGGCCGGTCGCGACGCGCACTGCCGCGGATGCGCAGTGCGTGTGGCTCACTCGGCCAGCCGCGTCGCTCTCGCGCGCGTGCGTGCTCGATGACTTCCGAGTCAGGGCAGTGGCAGGGGCTGCACACGCCTCGCCGGTTGCCCAGCACGGATACGCCACGTCCTGGATCGTGCGCGAGGCAGCCGCGTCGTCCACGGTGGAGGTGTCGCTGCTGCACTCCTGGTTGCGGCCGATGTTGCGGGCACACGCAGGGACGCCTGGAGGTGGCGTGGCCATCCCTGCCGCGCGCTCGCTGCACGCCTCGGCACATCAGCCTGGGACGGCAGCCATTGGCCACCTTCCTCACGCGGAGGCAGCGCTCGCGTTGTTGCGTGCGGCTTGCTTCGCCACGCTGGGCCCATATCCTGCGACGTTCCATGCATTCCGATCCCCTCAAGCGCCGCTGGTCGGCGGCGAGCGGCCACTACACTCGGGGCTGTTGGGGATGCTGCGCTCTGCTCGCCAAGAGGTCCCGTCCGCCACCATCTCGTACGTCAGCTTGGCGGACGAGGCCGAGGACATGTCGCGTGCTCTTGCGATGTCGTCGGAGTGGCTGCGGGCCGAGCCTGAGACGGCGCTCGATCAGGGCAGCCGCCGCGTCCCTCGTCTGAGCCAGCTAGCGCCCTCGGCGGCGGGTCCTGTCCAGCTCTACTTTGATGCGCGTGGCGTGGTGTCCAACCTGCATGTCATTTCGCAGAGGCCGCTCGCAGACCCGCTCGGCTCCGGCCAGGTGGAGCTGCACGTGCATTGCGTCGGCCTCAACTTCCGCGACGTGCTCAACGTGCTCGGCGCGTACCCCGGAGACCCCGGCCTGCCCGGCGGGGACTTTGCCGGCGAGGTCAGCCGCACAGCTCCGGATTCCGCCCCCGTCGGCCCCCTCGCACCTCGCGCTGCGATCTATGGCTTCGCATCGGCCGCGCTCGCTTCGATCGTGCGGACTGGCGCTTCCCTGGTTGCGTGCCGTCCGGCCGCCGTCAGCAGCGAGCAGGCGTGCTCTCTTCCGTCGACGTGGGGCACGGCACACTTGGTGCTCATGAGGTCGAGGGGATGCAAGCAGCACCGCCTGCTGCTCCACGCCGGCGCTGGCGGGGTCGGGCTTGCCACGTGCCAATACTCGACATGGTTGGCACTGCAGAGCCACACCACGGTTGGACGACCCTACAAGCATCGCTTCCTACGGGCTTTGTACCCGTCCTCCTCGAGCAGCTCCCGCGACGCAGCGGCCCTCTCGATTGGAGCATCCAGCTCGCTGCTTGCGCGCCGGCTCCACCTCGTGCTAAACAGCCTCTCGCACGACTTCATCTCGACCTCGACGGCGCTGCTGCGGGAGGGCGGGCACTTCGCTGAGATCGGCAAGCGCGGCGTGTGGTCCCGGGAGAGATCCCAGCAGGCGTCGCGTGCCGGCTACACCGTCGTGGCGCTGGACGACGTCCTGCAGCAGTGCCCGCGCTGGGCGAATCACATGCTCCGTCTCCTCTCGCGACGGGCTGCGGCGCACGTCCTGCGAGGGCTGCCGATTCTCGCCTACGATCTGGAGCGGCACGCGGTAGCCGCCTTCCGCTGCCTGCAGAACGGGGCGCAAGTTGGCAAGGTCGTCGTTCGGGTGCAAGGAGGCCTCACCGAGTCGGTGTGCCTCCGGCAGCACCTCCTCTCGGGCGGGACTGGCGGCCTCGGGCTCGTGGCGGCGCGCTGGCTGGTGGAGGGTGGCGCGTCGAGGCTGGTGCTGGCGTCGCGGACTCCGGCGCTGCCTGCCGCCGCCGCCACGTCCCTCGTTTCGTCGAGCGGCTGCAGCGTGCTTCTCGCCAGCTGCGACGTGGGCGAGCCGGCCGCCGTGCGCCGGCTCCTTGCGGGCGCTGGCGTGGGCGGCATGAGCGGCATGTGGCACACAGCGGGCGTGCTAGCGGACGGCGTGCTGCACTCGCAGAGCGAGCGCTCGCTGCGCCACGTCTTCGCCCCGAAGGCGCACGGCGGCGCGCACCTCTGTGCGGCGAGCGCGGCGGTGCCCCTCGATTCGTTCGTGCTGTTCTCGTCGGTGGCCGCGCTCATCGGCGGCGGCGGGCAGGCGAACTACGGCGCGGCGAACGGCTGCCTCGACGCGCTAGCAGCTTCCCTGCGCCGGGGCGCCAGGGCTGCCGCCAGCGTGCAGTGGGGTCCGTGGAGCGAGGTCGGCATGGCAGCGGGCGGGGCGGTGTCCACCCGGCTGCAGGCGGCGGGGATCGGGCTGATCGGGGTGGCCGAGGGAGTGGCCGCATTTTCGGCGGCGGTGAGGCCAAGGACTCCGGGCGTCTTCTCGGTCTTTGCAGTCGACTGGCGCCGCTACCTGGCCATGCTGCCAGCGGTGCCTGCCCTGCTGAGCGGGATGGCTCCGGCGGCGAAGGCTGGCAGGCCCATCGGCGCAGCGCCGGCGTCCTCGACGCGTGGCAGAGTTGGCCTCGACGGCGTGCTTGCGGCGCTGCACCAGACGACGGGCAAGCACGTCGGCCCGGACGCGCCTTTGATGGAGGCCGGCCTCGACTCGCTCGGCGCGGTCGAGCTGCGCAACCAGCTGCAGGCGGTGGCCGGGGACGGCGTGTCGCTCCCGAGCACCCTGGTCTTCGACCACCCGACAGCCCGCCAGCTGGCCGCCTTCTTCGAGGCGGACGCGGACGCCCCCGTCACGGAGGCGAGCGGCGCTCCGATGTCTGGCGCTCGAGTCGCGTCGAGCGTGGGCGCCGACATCAGCGGTGCGAGCGCCCAGCTACCGGACGGGTGCGGCGCGCTCGGTCAGGTGTGGCAGCTGTCCTCGTGCGGGGTGGACGCGGTGGCTGAGGTGCCGGCCGATCGTTGGTCGCTCCCGCCCGCGCCTCGCTCTGACGACGTGGTTGCACGCCGGTCGCGCCACGGCGCCTTCCTCCGTTCAATCGACGGGTTCGACTGCAGCTACTTCGGCGTGTCGCCAGCGGAGGCGAGCGCAATGGACCCGCAGCAGCGCTTGCTGCTCGAGCGGGGCTACGGCGCTCTGCACGCAGCCGGCCTCGAGAGGGCGTCGCTGAACGGCAGCCTGACGGGAGTGTTCATCGGCATCTCCTCTTACGACTTTGAGCTTGTGGGAGGACAAACCACTACGTCCCGTAGCGTCTACCATGCGACAGGAACTAGCCATTCGATTGCTTCGGGCCGCCTGTCGTACATCCTCGGCATGCAGGGGCCTGCTGTCTCCTACGACACTGCCTGCTCTGCTGCGCTCACAGCCAGCCACGCGGCCACGAGTGCGCTGCGGCTCGGCGAGTGCGAGAGCGGGCTGGTGGCCGGCGTCAGCTTGATGCTGCTCCCCGATGTGAGCCACAGCTTCGCTGTCGCGGGCATGCTGTCGGCGCTCGGCCGGTCCCACACCTTCGACCGCCGGGCCGACGGGTACGCCCGTGGCGAGGCGTGCTGCGCGTGGCTTCTGCAGGGAGGCGCGACGGCTCGCCGGCCGGTCGCCTCGGCGCTGGGCAGCTGCGTGCGACAGGACGGCAAGAGCGCCAGCCTCACCGCGCCCAACGGGCTCGCGCAGCAGTCGCTCCTCGAGGCGGCGCTCGCCGACGCAGCCGTGGTCGCCGACAGCCTCGCCTGCTCGGAGGCGCACGGCACGGGCACGTCGCTCGGCGACCCGATCGAGGCGCGGTCGCTCGCCGCGGCGGTGCTCGCCCGGCGCGGCGGCGGCGAGGCGCTCGCGGTGGGCAGCATCAAGGCCAACTGCGGCCACGGCGAGCCGGCGGCGGGCGCGGGCGGCCTGCTGCGCCTGTTGCTTGGTCTGTGCGGCGCCGAGGCGCCGCCCAACGCGCAGCTGCGGGTGCTGAACCCGCACGTGAGTGCGGCGCTGGAGGGCAAGGCGTGCGTGCTGCCGACTCAGCTGGCGGCGCTGCGCTCGACGGCCGCGGCGGCCGGCTCGCAGGAGGGCGGCGTGAGCTCCTTTGGCTACAGCGGCACGATTGTGCACGCGGTGTTGCGCGCGGCGCCCGGCGAGGCGGGGCGCGGGGCGCTTGCTCGGCGGGTGGAGTGCGGCCCGCAGTACCGTCGGCGCCGGTTCGGCTGGCGCGAGACGCCCCACCCGCTCGCGGAGGCGCGGCTCGACGCGGCCGGCGACTGTGCGGCCGTGCGGTTCCGGTCGGCTTCGGACGGCGGGCTACGCTCGCTCGTCGCCGACCACGTCGTTCTCGGGCGGGTGCTCTTCCCTGCGGCTGGCTTCCTCGAGATGGCTCGCGCGGCGTGCGCGGCGTGCGCGGCGTCGCGGGCGGCCGAGCTCGGCGCCGACACGCCGGTCGGCTTGCGGCGCGCCTTCTTCATGCAGCCGCTGCCGCTCGGCGAGTCGGGCGGTCTGTGGGTCGAGGTGTCGGTGGACGCGGCGGCGGAGCGTCTCGAGGTGGCTAGCTACGGGCAGGAGGAGGGCGCGGCGCGCACGGCACACTTTGCGTGCGGCCTGGCCGGGTCAGGCGCCGAGCCCGGCGGCGCGGCGCCGCCGTCGCTGGCGTCGGCGCGTGCGCTCTGCCCTCGGCCGGCGGAGCTGCGGCAGCTGTACGCGGCGTTTGAGCGGATCGGCCTTCAGTACGGCGGCGGCTTCCGCACGCTCGCCGCGGCGTGGTCGAGCGGCGGCGCGGACGGTGGCGCGGCGGCGCGGCTGCGGCGGCGGCGCTGCTTGGGCGGCACGCAGGTGCACCCGGCCGACCTGGACGGCGCGCTCCAGCTGACGGCTCTGCTGGCCAAGTCGGCCGGCGGCGAGACGCGGCTGCCCTTCTCGATTGGCGAGGCGTCGCTCGGGGTGCCGCGGGGCGGTCTGTGGCCGGTCGCGACGCGCACTGCCGCGGATGCGCAGTGCGTGTGGCTCTTGGGCGAGCAGCCATCATCGGCTGGGACGGTGCGTTTGGGCGATTTCGAGACCAAGGCGTTGACTGCGCCGGGTCCCGTCGCGTCCTCCAAGTCGGGCGCACAAGCGCGGTCCTGGCGCTACGCTTGCGCGTGGCCTAGCGTGCGCTGTGATCTGCAGGATACCCCTCCAGACGTCAAGCTGCTCGTGCTGGACGACTTGGGCGGTCTCCTTACGAGTTCACTGCCGACCAGTGCCGAGCACGCAGAGACGAGCCCAGAGCCTCTCGAGGGCAACTGGAAGGCAGTGGTGCTTGCAGCGGGCGCTTCCCTGGTCACAGAGCAGTTGGACGTTTTGCATCGTCTTCTTTCAGCGCTTCAAGAGCTCAGGCATCCTGGTTGCACCCCTCCATCGACGCCAAGGAGTCGCAACTCGGCACCGAATCCGTTCATAGCGGCGGGCGCATCATCACTCCACGAGCCGGCTCCAAGCGATGGAATGCCGATCCCACTCTGGGTGTGCACGCTCGGCGTTCAGCCCATTCTGCTCTCTGAACCGAATGTTCGCTGCACGCACTCTGCAGCGTGGGGCTTGTCGCGAGCGTGCCGGCGAGAGGGCGTGCTATCGTTGCACTGCTTGGACCTCGATGCAACGGCCGACTCGCTGAGCTTGGCGGCTCGAGTGGTCCTCCAGCCGTCGATCCAGCCTGCCGAGGGAAGCGTGCGTGGCTTGCGTGTCGGCCCCTCGCTCGAGAACGAGATGGTGCTTCGCCGCGACAACCTCCACATTGCTCGCCTCGTTTCGCCGTTCGAATTGGACCGCGTGCCGGCGCGCCTGACGATCGCTCGGAAGGGCGCGATTACGGGGCTCAGGCTGGAGCCACAGGGTGAGTTTGAGTCGGAGCTCTTGAGCAGCGAGGTCGAGGTTGAGGTGCGCGCAGTCGGACTCAACTTCCGCGACGTGCTCATCGTGCTAGGAGCGCTGCCAGAACGGTTCATGGCGGAGCTCGGGTCCGATTGTGCTGGCACAGTGCAAGCCGCTGGTAGCAGCGTTCGTCACATACTCCGTCGCACACCTTGCTTCGGCCTGGCCTCGGGCTGCCTGGCGGCGTATGCACGCACCGATGCGCGAATGCAGGTCGCCAAGCCGGCGGCCTTGTCGTTCGAGGGGGCCACGACGCTCATCAGCACTTGGTGCACCGTGCATGTCGGCTTCGAGCGGATCTCCCTCCGCGGGCGTCGCCGGCTCCTTCTTCACGCCGCCGCGGGCGGGGTTGGGCTCACGGCCCTCGAGTACGCGCAGTGGCTCTGTGCGCCGGCGCTCTGCACGGCCGGCGCGCCGCACAAGCACCGGCTGCTCCGCCGCCAAGGTGTGGCGCTCATGGCCAGCTCGCGCGACGCCGCCGCATCCACACTGGGCGCGCAGCGCTACCTGTGCGGTCTGCGGCTGCATGCGGTGCTCAACAGCCTCTCCGCCGACTTCATCTCGGCGGCTTTCGCGCTGTTGGGCGAGCGTGGGCGGTTCGAGGAGATCGGCAAGAGAGGCATCTGGAGCCAGGGCCGCGCTGGAGCGATCAGGCACGTCGCTTACGACGTTCGCGACATGTCTGCCGAAGCTCCGATGAACCCTGAGTGGTTTCAGCGCTCGGTGCTTCGGGTCCTCGCGCAGCGCGCGTCAGCCGAGGTGGTCCACAGCCTGCCTGTTTACGAGTTCGACATTGTCCACCGAGTCCAGGACGCGTTCCGCTTCCTGGCCAACGGCAAGAACACGGGCAAGGTTGTGCTGCGCATGAGCTGTGCACACGTCGCCCCGGCTCTGCAGCTCGGCTTTGGCGCGCTCCGCAGCCGCCTCGACGCCAGCGCGGGAGCGGCGGCCGCGGCGATCGACCTTGACCGACTGGCCGACGCGCTCTCCCTGCTTGACCGGCTGTGCCGCCAGTTCGTGCGCGAGGCGTTGAAGGGCCTCGACCCGACGACCGTCGTGAAGTGGCACCACAAGCTGCTGCTGCAGTGGTGCGCCGGCGCCCGTGACGGCGGGGAGGGGCAGGTCGACGGAGCCGCTGTCGAGCGGGCGCACGCCGGAGTGGCGCCGGAGGTGGCGCTGGCGTCGAGGTGCGGCCCGCACCTCCGGGCAGCGCTCCAGGGCACGACTGCGTACCAGGAGCTGCTCTTCCCCGGCGGCTCGATGGACGCCGTGCTTCCCGTCTACCAGGACGCCGTCGTCGCCAACTTCTACAACGGCGTCGTGCTCGCAGCCGTGGAGGCGGTCGTCGCCGGGCTGGAGGACGGGCGCCAGCTGTGCGTGCTCGAGGTGGGCGCCGGGACCGGAGGGACCGCGGCCATGGTTCTGCCGGCGCTGCAGAACGCTTGCGCGCAGTACCTCTTCACGGACGTGTCGGAGGTCTTCCTGCTGCAGGCGCAGCAGCGCTTCGCCGAGTATGCGGGCTTCATGCGCTACGAGCTGCTCAACATCGACGCCGATCCTCGGCTCCAGGGCTTCGCCCTCGCGCAGCAGCACCTCGCGATCGCCACCAACGTGCTTCACGCGACGCCGTACATTTGCAACACCCTCGCGCACTGCCGCCAGCTGCTCAGCCCGGGCGGGCTGCTCGTCGTCAACGAGGTGCTCGAGACGAACGCGTTTGCGCAGATCACGTTTGGCATGACGGATGGGTGGTGGCTCTTCGCTTCGGACCCTGCGCGCGCGGGGCAGCAGAGCCCGCTCATGAGCTGGGAGCGGTGGTGCACGCTCTTCGCCGACGCCGGGTTTGCTCACAGCCACGCCGTGCGCGGCGGCGGGGTCCTCGATGGCCAGGCGGTGATGGTCGCGCGCGTGAGCGAGCGGGGCCAGCTGCTCGTTGAGCCGCAGGCGCGCTCGGCGAAGGGGACGCACGTGCTCACAGGCGGGCTTGGCGGGCTCGCGCTGCTCACGGCCCGCGTGCTAGTCGAGCGCGGCGCCGACCACCTCGTCCTGGCCTCCCGCAGCGGACGCGTGCAGGCGGGCAGCGAGCCCGACTTCGCGTGGCTGCGGCAGGCTGGCGCCGAGATGGAGCCGATTCGCTGCGATGTGGCCGACTCGCACTCGCTGCTCGGCCTCGTGCGCGGGCTCGTCGGGGCGGCGCGCCCTCCGTCGGGCGTCCACCACGCGGCCGGCGTGCTGGCGGACGCCGCACTCGCCAACCAGACGATGCGGCACTTCCGCACCGTGTTCGGCCCCAAGGTCGGCGGCGCAGCCAGCCTGCACCGCTTGGTGCAGCCGCTGCCACTCGGGACGTTCCTCTCGTACTCGTCGGCCGCGGGCCTGCTGGGCTCCGCCGGGCAGGCGCCGCACTCAGCGGCAAACAGCTGGCTCGACTCTTTCGTCCACTGGCGGCGCGCCGAGGGCGTGTGCGGCCATGGACTTCAGTGGAGCGCCGTCTCAGAGATTGGCTACGCGGCGCGGGAGGGGGCGGACAAGCGCATGGCCCAGGGCGGCATGCACCCGATCGATCGGTCGATGGCGCAGAGCGCTCTCGAGGCGGCCCTGTTTTGCAGCGGGCGCGTGCTGGCTCTGCTGAGCGCAGACTGGAACCAGATGCTGCAGGGCGCCGATGTCGCTGAGGTGCCGGGCTTCCTGCTGCCATGGAAGCTGCGCAGCCAGGTCAAGTCACGCAGCGTGACGCGCGTCGCCTCCGCGTCGGCTGGCGCTTCTGAGGCGCTGGACTTGCCGTCGGTGCTGCGGCGCGTGCGCGACGTGGCAGGCTCGCACGTCGGCGCTGACCAGCCTTTGATGGAGGCCGGCCTCGACTCGCTCGGTGCGGTTGAGCTGGGCAACCAGCTGCAGGATGCGGCCGGTGTCACGCTGCCGAGTACCCTCATCATCGACTTCCCGACGGCTCGCCAACTCTCCGAGTACCTGCTGGACCTTTCCGCGGAGACACACGGGCCCGATCCGGGCCTCGAGGAGTACTCTGTGCCGTCGTACACCTCGTTCGGCGATGGCGACGACTACATCAGCCCGTGTCTCGTGCGGCTGCGCGGGGAGGCGGAGGGCAGCCCGTCGCCGCCCGTCCGCGGGGATGCCGCCGCTCCGGAGGCGACGGGCAGCACCGCCCCCCTGCTGGTGATTGTCCACTCGGTCGCTGGCGACGAGCAGGGCTACGAGCGCTTCTACCGGCGGCGGAAGCACCACAGCTGGCAGGACGCGAACGCCGAGGTTGTCGCAACGCGCCACCCGGGCCTGAGCCGGCGCGGTGACGAGTCCAGCTTCGACGCGCACTCGCTCCAAGACCTAATCGACCGGTACGCGGGCGAGTTGGTGGCGTACGCGGGCGGGCGGACCTTCAACCTCATCGGCGCCTCGCTGGGGTCCATCATGGCCCACCGCATGGCCATCACGTGCCGCAACCTGGGCGGGCGGCCGGAGCGTGTGATCCTCATCGACCCGCCGCAGCCGAACCCGCTGCCAGGCTTCATGGGCGCGATGGCGCGAAACGTCCGGATTGGGCCGCGGCAGGCGGCCGAGTCGCTGATGCTCGGCACCTCGCTGAGCAAGTCCCTCTCCGTGGAGGCGACGATGGGCGCCGAGGACGAGTCGGCCGCACTGGGGGCGTTGTACCAAGAGGTCCAGAGCGCGCCTGAGCAGATGCTCTCCTTCCTCCTCGCGAAGGCCTCGGTGCCGCGCTTCCTCGAGTTGGCCGGCGACGACATGGAGCGCGCGCTCTTCGACGCTAGCCGCCGCATCTCCACGCACCGGCACCTCGTGCAGCTTCTCTGGAACGAGTGGGCCGGGACCGCGGCGAAGCCGCCGCGCCCCTTCAAGTACACCAGCCGGCGCGGCGCCCCCGCGATTTTCCTCGTCCGAGCAGAGGAGCGCGGCGCGTTTTTCGGCCTGATGATGGCGCAGGGCCTGCGCGGCGTCTCGAACGAGTTCCTCGAGCAGGCACAGGGGACGGGCGCCCAGTTTGGCCCGGGCGGACTGCGCGCGATGCTGGACAAGTACAACGACTACCACGAGGGCGGCAAGATGTACCGCTCCAACACGTACGTCGCCCTGCTCGAGGAGGACTTTGGACGCATCGGAGCGCTGCCTCTGCTCCACCTGCGCTCTGTGGTCAACTATGACGTGTCGACCATGTTTGGGCCGCTGGCGCTCGAGCTGGAGCTGCCCGGCCACCACTTCGACGTGGCTGCGCGCTGCATCTCGCTGCGCGACCCCGCCTTTGACGTCCTTGCCGAGCAGTTCTTCGCGCCGCCCTCATACACCAGCGCCGCCCTTATGCGGCGCGGCGCGGCGGCGGGCGGGGCCGGCGGGGGCGACGGAGGGGACGGAGGGGACGGAGGCGGCGGGGCTGGTCGCGCCTCGAGCTGGCTCGATGCCGCCTGGGACGCCGCCTCCCTCTTGCCCGTCGCCGCCGCCGACTGGCTCAACGAGCAGGTATTACGAGCGCAACTGGGCAGCATGTCCTCGCTCCAAAAGTGCCTGGTGCAGCCGGCGCCGGCGCAAAAGCTGCCCGAGCAGTGGGAGGGAGGTTAGTGTTGTCGTGGGGATGCATGTTGTTGCGAGTCTATACAAATAAGTGATGCGATCACCCCCCACATGGGTGCCCTTTCTAGTCATTCTAGTGAATGAATTGACTCGTCCCAGTGGATGTGTCCGATTTCCGACGTCCCTGTCAAAATGTGCGTGACGTCCGATCCTTTGTAATCGTCTAGAGACGCTGGATACATGAGCACGGAGCCGGCCGCTCCCGGCCCCACGCTGCGCCCACGGCCCGCGCGGCCGGCGCAGCCGCCCGGGAGCTCAGGCGCTACCGCTCCGCTTGCGCATGGTAGCGGCCTACGGTCCGCATCCTGCCGTCCGGACAACCGAGCCCAACAATCGGCGCCGGACAACCGAGCCCAACACCCTCCGCCCAGCCCGGCCCAGGGGTCGCCGTCCGAGGCACCAGCCGCGACACCATCCGCCGGTGCCGCCGAGGCCGGTGCACTCAGCCCCAGCGGGCAGGCGCTTGCCGCCGCAGAGCTGGCGTCGCACCAGAGGCAGTGCGCAAGCGCGCAGCCTTTGCCTTTCGTGCAGGTGCAGAACCCTGGAGTGCAGCCGCAAATGTACCTGCCGCCCTCGTCTGGCCTCGCCGACCAGTGGGCCTGCTACGCGTCGATGGCCCTGCCTTCGCAAGCCTCCGGTTTCGGCTGGCCTGCCGCGCCTGCTCTCATGGACCCCGCTTGGGTGCAGAGCCCGCATGGCTGCTGCGCGCCCGCCTTCCACGGCTGGGGGATGGGGCAGGTGCAGCCCTCTTGCGGCTCCTACCTCCACACTGGCGCGCAGCAGCTCTACCCCTGCGGCGGCGAAGCGTGGTCGCCCTTTACGCAGCAGCACCAGGTGCAGCAGCAGATGCAGCAGCAGCAGCAGCACGCCGCCTTTCAACCCGGGTTCCCTGCGCCCGGCGCTTCGGCTGCCGCCATTGGCGCTGGCCAGGCCGCCTCCGCCGCCCGAGGGCAAGCCGGAGTCGGTGAGCGCGACCCTCAGGTCGAGGGCCTCGCCTCTCTCCTCGCCCAGGCCGTGCGGCAGAGTGCCGGTGGCGCCAAGGCCAAGGTCAAGGACGTCAGCGCCGCCGAGGCCAACGCCGTCGCCACCACGCTCGACCCCGCCGACGTCGCCCCTTTCATCGCGCGCTTCAAGAACATGTGCATCCGGAAGGACCCGCGCTTCGTCAGGCTGTTCGCCCTCAACGCCGCCCAGCTAGCGAGCACCATCACTGCAGGCGACGACGAGCTCGCCTACCTCGACGCCTACGTCGCCGGGGCTGTTCAGTGCTGCCTCAAGCCCGACTCTGACGCTGTCAAGCTCTTTAGAAAGCGCAACGACGGCGGTCATCAAGGCAGCGGCCTCTACCAGCTTCAGAGCATCGCTCGGCTCGCCGTCCTCAAGCCCGGCGTCGAGATGCAGAACGCCGAGGCCGCCTTCAAGAAGAAGACGTTCTTTGTTGCCGGGATGGGGTTCGTCCCCGCGCAGCTCGCCGCGGAAACGCTCAAGGCCGAGTTCGCGCTCCTCACCAACCAGTGCCGATCGCACTTTGACGTCTACCGCGCCATCATCGGCAAGCTTCCCGACCAGATCAGCGGCAAGCGCGATGCCCTCGCCGACAAGATCAACGAGTGGCAGTCCGGCGGGTTCCCGCCCTGGCACAGCTACGACGCCTTCATCACATACGTCGCCAACCTGCTCAGCGACGGGAGCGCCTGCGTCAGCGCCGGCGATGCTGGCCCCGCCGATGCCGGCGCTGGCGGGCTCGAGGCGAACGCTGCTGAGAGGGCCGGCGGTGCCCCGCGCCCTCCTTGCCTCATCTGCGGCAGCCCCGACCACGGCACCAAGCAGTGCACGCGCGAGTGCAAGGCGTGCAAAAAGGCTATTGCCGACGGCCTTATCACCGTCCGCAGCGCCGCGACCTTCTGCCCCGCCGCCCGCCCCGGCGAGCGCTGCGCCGTCACCAGCAAGCAGTTTCCCCGCACCGTCAAGAATGGCCTCGGCAAGCCCCTGTTCTCGTACGGCCGCAAGCTGCTCGAGAAGGCGCACCGCGAGTACCACGGAGGCGACAAGCGCGAGGCCAACGCCGCCGAGCGCCACCAGCCGCGCGACGACCGCGGCTCCGACGAGGACCCCATCGCCGCCGTCGACGACGGCGCCGTCTTCGGCGACGGCTACGTCGGGCGCCGCGAGGTCGCCGCCGCTGAGGTCGCCAAGGGGGGGGTCTCAGAGACCGTGCCTCTCGGCGCGAGTGCCACCCTGGACGCGCAGCGCGAAGGTGGTTGGCTCGGCTCCTCGGTGCCACCGCCGAAAGTCGAGCGCGACGTCACCGACGGCGACATGCAGGTCGGGCCCGCACCAGTCTGCCGCCTCGACCTCGGAGACGTTCAGAGCAACCTCGGCCTTGCATGCGTCCTCGCCTGGCCTGCTGCCACCGCAGTCGCTATCGTCGCGACGTTCATTGCGCTTCTCGCGCTCGGGGGCGGCCGTTTCGGTGTCGACGTCAGCGCCATCAGCGGCCCCGCAGCCGAGGCGCGCCGCACTAGCGCTGCAGCTGTCGCCGCCGTGTACAGCGCCAGCGCAAGCGCCCTTCACGCTGCCACCGCCACCGCCTGCGGCGCGGCTGCCGAGGTCGGGCAGGCCGCCCAGCGCGCGTGCTGTGGTTTCGGCCGTGTCGCCGGCCTCCTCGGCTGCCTTGCGCTCGCTGTCGCCGCCGTCGCCTCTCCCGTCGCCGCCCGCGCCGACCCTGCCAGTGGGGCTGCCGCCAGCGGTGTCTGTGCTGCCGCCGTCAGCGCTGGCGAGACCGGCGCTGCGCACAGTCTCCAGCGCGAGCGGCCGCCCCTCCCTCGAGGCGGGCGCCAGACGATACGTCTCGAGTTCCAGCTCGATGGGGGCTCCAACACGTGCGTCGTCAAGCATGCCCCCAACGCCGAGCGGGGAGCCGTGCGCCTCGGCGACGTGACCGGCGTCTACGACATCCAGCAGCGCGCCTGCTCCATCACCGGCATCGGACCCGCTGCCGACGTCACCACGTCGCAGGTCATCAGCATGCGGGGCGTCACCGGGTCCGGCCGCGCCCTGGACATCCGCGAGGCTGTCTTCTCTGACAACGTCACGCGGTCCATCATCGCCGAGAGCTACCTCGAGGAGAACTACGGCGCCGACGTGTCTAAGGTGCGCAGGCACATCATCTGGAAGGATGGGCGTACTGACCCCATCTACAGTCGCAACGGCCTCTACTTCGTGACCCTCGAAGTCGTCCCCGTCCCCTCCGTCTCGTACAGTGTTGCCGTCGCCGGGGCCGAGGCCGCCGCTGCGAAGCTACGTGTCGACGACAGAGCTGCGCTCATGGCCGCCCGCTTTGTGACCGATGCCGCCGGCATCGTCTCGATCTCTCGTGCCGCCCACGGTGTCGGCGTCGACAAGGTCAACCGTACAGCCGCCGAGGTCATCGACAAGGACCGTTTCCTTGCGATCACCCCCCACATGGGTGCCCTTTCTAGTCATTCTAGTGAATGAATTGACTCGTCCCAGTGGATGTGTCCGATTTCCGACGTCCCTGTCAAAATGTGCGTGACGTCCGATCCTTTGTAATCGTCTAGAGACGCTGGATACATGAGCACGGAGCCGGCCGCTCCCGGCCCCACGCTGCGCCCACGGCCCGCGCGGCCGGCGCAGCCGCCCGGGAGCTCAGGCGCTACCGCTCCGCTTGCGCAAGTGAATAAAACGGCCAAACTCTGAGACGAGTGGTCAAAATCAAAGATCGCACGGGCGGGGACCTGTTCCCTTTTACCCATCGCCATCGCCTAGCAGGGAGGTGCACTTGGGCTTGAAGTGGAGGTGTCCTAAAGCCGTACAGACTACAGTTGGCGACGGTATATGTCATTATTCATTTCCCACTATGCCACGTCGCCCATCCCGGGATGGGCGACGTGGCATAGTGGGAAATGATATACCGTCGCCAACTGCATGTCCGTTTTTTTTACTCTTGTTTCCGGCCATGGCCCCATGTGCGCCATGGCGCAAGGGGGGGGGGGGGGGGGCAAATGCAAAAATTTGTGTGTTCGAATGAAAAGGAACAATCCTATCTCCCATCGGCACCCACGCCCGAACCCAAGCCCGAGCAAGGCCGGAGCCATTGTGCACAGCACCTAAGCTTCCGAATCTCGCGAATGTGCCGAGCTACTGAGCCTAACGTAGACGCGGCCGTCGGTCGAGTCACCTACGAACGTCAAATTCGCGCAGAGATGCGCGGTGGGCCGCAGGCCGAACTGCGCCGGAAGACCAAGGATCCAAGGCGCGAGGCCAGGCGCTGTGCGGTCGGCCTTGCGGCAGCTCCTCCCTCCTCGCTCGGCGACAGAAGCGCAAACCCGATCCATGCGACATGGGCAACACAGTGCAGCAGCAACGCAGTGCCGTAGCAGCCCAGCAGGACCATCTCCGTCAGGTCCTCGCGCCGCTTGTCAAAGCTGAGCGACACCCCCGTGACCATCAGGAGCGCTGCCAAGCGCAGAGTGGTTCCGGCCAGGGCTAGCCCTGCCCGGCGGCGGCGAGAGACGCAGGCGTTGGTGCGCTTGGGAGCAGCGAGTCCATCGAGGGGAGCCGGCGGTGGCGGCACGATGAGGCAGAGGCGCGTCGCCCATAGGACTAGGTGTGCAAAGAGCTGCATCGCGTCGATGAAGTAGACTGCAAACAGCGTGTACGGCAAGCTGCCTCCGGAGACCACCCAGAAGAGAGACCATAGCTGCATCGCCGCTGCCAGCGGCGAGAGCCGGATGGCGGCCGAACGACCCGCGAGCTCAAGCAGTCCCAACGAGATTTTGCTTACCTGTGCGGGCGTGGTAGGCAGAGCGAGCAGGATGAGGAGGTGGTGGGTGCGGTTGCAGCCGCTTCTCGCGCACCGAAGCCAGGGGGAAGCCCGCCATGAGAACGGCCGCCAGCAGCCCGGCGGCTGAGTGAGGATAAGTGCAGTCGCTGTCCTCAGTGCCCGTGATCGAGCAATTCAAGTAGTCGCCTGTTCCAAATAGTCGCGGGTGGCGTTAATCGCTAGCGGTGTAGTCCAGGACGGCGCCGGCCGCTGCTGCCGTTCCACGGGCAGCCATCGAACAACGTCGGGACCTACATGACGACATGACGTGTGCATCTGACCTGCTCTCCGGGCTCTGGGTCGGTCCGGATGCCGTGGTGGCGAGAAGACGCACCGGAGCGGTGGGGGAGGGGGCGAATCCCAGATAAGTGGCGGGCGTCATCAGAGCTGTTGCGCTGATGTCAAGGATGACCATCGCCGCAACAAAACCCGACGTGGTAGGAACGCAGCCGCACCTGCGGAGCGGTGCATGCGCTGGTTGTGAGGCACCCGAGGGCCCTCTTTCGTGAACCACTCACTACTGCTACAGTAACCGCGTCATTGCCGTATCTTCTGTATCCACCTCTCTCTCAGGGCAAAGATGGTGATGGCGGCAACTGCGGTGGCGCCGTGCACCGCGCACGCGCCGGTGCTGAGCCAGAAAGCTGAGGAGCCCTGGTAGACGGTTCCTGGCAGACTCTCCGCGTACTCACACCACGGCACGCCTGGGGGCGCCATCTTTCGGTGCTGTTTTCTTTCTCAATGCAATGTATCGGTGGTGTCAATTGAGGCGACGACCAATCGCGGCGCTCCGCGTAAGTTGAACCTTCCAGCTTCCACGCTGTCCGATGAGGCCACCGCGCACCGGCCAAAAGCGCATGTGATCTGTGATCTGTGAGGGTCCGCCCGCAGGCGCATTTTGTATACCGAGGCGGTGCCCGGTGCCGAACCTGTCGGACCTTGAGACAGCATTGTAGACTACTTATGTTTTCGCAAACGTAGTCGTGGCCCCCCGCTACGTCGCACGAGTGGGGAGTGCGACTGGGATCTGGCTTCTGGGTAGCGCGGGGGGCTAAAATACTTCTGTCTCTGCTCTCTTGTCGCTGCCGGTGCCGCGCGAATGCGTTGAGGAAGAATTTTACAACAAAGTTTGAGGAAGAAATTTCGTGGATATTGTGAGAAAATGTGGCGCAAAAGCTAGATAGCCCACTAATACTGCGATTTTTCGGCGACCGTCTCCCCGGGGAAAGCCATGCGCGAGAGTGCTCCGACCTAGACGGCCGCTGGGCTCCACGGGTCCTCCCCGCCCGACTCGAGGTAGCCGCGCAACCGCGAGTCGCTCCAGGCGGCCATGCCGCTGCGCACCTCGACGTCGTCTGCGAGGAGATCCGCCTGCAGCTCGAGCACGCGCGCCATGTCTACCTGCGGGCCGGGCAGCTCGCACACGCCGACGTGGTTGTGCACCGCCACGGCGAACGCCTTTGGGTCGGAGCGCAGCAGCTGGACGTGCTGGCCGCGCAGCACCTCCAGCCGCGCCGCCCTGTCCTTGGTGCGGAGCGAGGCGGCGAAGGCGCGCACGCCGGCGGCGGGCAGGACGGCGTCTTGCTCCGACGTGAGGACCAGCGCGGGCGCGCGCGGCTCGAGCGCCGCCTGCGCCTCGAAGACGGACGCCGCCCCGGGCGCGCCGCCCGCGCCGAGCGAAAAGTCGCTCGACACGAGGGCCGCGCCGACCGCCTGCAGCCGCGCCTGCGCCGCCTCGTCGCGCAGCGTCGCCGTGAGGCCGTGGTGGAGCGCGCCCGCGCGCACGGTCTGCAGCACGACCGCCTCCATCGACGAGGCGGCTAGTGCGCTCATCTCGACAGCGGCGCAGTCGAAAATGAGGCCGGCGAGCCGGTCGGCGAAGCAGGCCTGCCCGACCGCCGAGCGGAGCAAATCCACCCACAGATAGTGCCCGTTGTTGGAGAGGATGTGGACGAGCAGCCGGCCGCAGCCGTGCAGCGCGTCGCAGACGTTGCGCCGCTGCTCGGCGTAGGCGGCCGCCGCGTGCTCGCCGACCACGCCGGCGCGAGTGGTCGCCACCACGCGCCACGCTGGCCACAGCCGCTGATAGAACTCGGCGTGCGGCCGCAGCGCCTGCTGGCTCGCGCCGCCAAAGCCGAGAAGTAGCACGCCGACGGGCGGCGCCTGGTCGTCTGCCGCGGCGGCGTACCGCGCGACCGCCGTCCCGTCCTGCGAGAGTGCGACCTGGAAGGCCAGCGCGAGCGCTGCGGTGGCGGCTTGCTGGCCTTTGTCGGGACCAGTGGCGAGATCGAGCAGCGCCGCGAGAAGCCGCTTGGCGAGCGGAGGGCTCGACAGCGCCGCCACGGCGAGCGGCTGTGCAGCGGCGACGTCGAGTCGGTCGGCGAGCGCTGCAAAGACTTCGTCCTCAGACATGTTCGACATCGGGTCGCCCCCCGCCCCCCCGACAGGGGTCGCACCAAACTCTGTCGGTGGCATCTTGAACAGCCCTGTGAAAGACCTTGGCCGGGCGGGTCGCCGTGTGGAGGGAGCAGGTGGTGCGGATCATGGAGGCGGACGCCCAGGAGGCGAAGGCGGAGGCGAACGCTCGGCAGAGGGAGCGCGTCGCTGCATCCTCGCGGGCACGGACGCTGCGGGCGCGGGCGCGGGGGTGGAGGAGGCGCTCAATTGCTGGGAGGAGGAGGCGTACGAAGCGGAGACGCTGGAGACGCTGGAGACGCAGGCGGGGCGGCATGCCGCGGCTCACCTTCAGGTGAGTTCATCTTGCCGGCGGCCCGGCGGTACCCGACGCTGCTCGAACGGCAGTTTGTCGACCGCCGGCAGTTGACCGGCAAGATGAAGTCCACCGCGCTCGGAAAAAATACCTTCGGAACCGCTTTGCCAAGGCGCACAATAGTCACTCCGACAGTATTTTCCAGCAGATGCGTCATCCTGGGCCGCTGGAAAATGCTGTCAACGAGTCAACCCCGTACCCTCTGTGACCGTCTGCCGGTCGCCGACGGTCGCCATTTATTTCTGGCTGCCGAGGATGACACAACTGGAAAACACTGTGATGTGTGACTACTGTGCGCCTTGGCAAGGGTATTTTTCCGTCGGGCAGCTGTCGATCGACCGCCGGCAGTTGACCGGCAAGATGAAGTCCACTGCGCTCGGAATCGGGATGTCCGGAACCGAGGATTTGTTTAGGGGGTCACTGCCCGATGCCCGAACAACAGATAGCGCAGGTCCCCCACTGTTGAGACAAGAAGAAAAAGTCCGCGTTCGCGCCGGGTGATCATAACATGCTGATAGCCAGCCTGCCCGAGGAGGTGCTCTACGCGCTGCTCGGCTACCCTGGCAGCGTCGTCGTGCTGTGTGCCGACGGTACGTTTGGCCTCGCGGACGACCTCGTCCTTGACCCTTCCGAACGGCGGCTGATCGAGCGGCTGCTGCAACTCGGCACGTGCTCTGCCGCCCTCGACGGCTTTGTGACGGAGCAGCTGTACGATTGGCGCGGTGGCGGCGCGCGTGATCCGCACATCGCCGCCTTTGCCACGGGCCTCGAGGAGTGCCTCGCGCCGTACCGGTCCTGCATCCTGGCGCTGGAGCAGCGACTGATTGCCGATGGCACGCTGCCGCTGCTCGAGCTGCAGCTGTCCGTCGACCGCTTCTGCCTGGCGCTGCCCCGGCTGCGCTCGCTCGCCGAGAGAGTGCGCGCCGAGGCGATCGGCGCCGCGCCGCTGCTCGACCTCCTCTCGGACGAGCACGCGGTGGCGGTCGGGCACAGCCGCGAGTGCGTCCGGCTGCTCCTGTGGCACGTGCAGCGCGTCTTCCTCGCGCAGCTGTCGACGTGGCTGCTGCACGGCGAGCTGCTCCCCGCCTCGGCCGCCTCCTTCTTCATCCAGCCCGTCGATGCGCCCGTCGATGCGCCCGCCGCCGCGCCCGCCGCCGCGCCCGCCGCCGCCGCCGCCGCGCCCGCCACCGCCCCCGACGCCGAGGAGCGGCTGTGGCGCAGCTACGAGGTCGTGGTCCCGCTCAAGCCGCTGCTCCTCCCGCTGCGCGTCGCCGAGCAGGCGCTCTTCGTGGGCAAGGCCGCCCGCCTCCTCCGCGCCGCCGCCGCGCCGCCGAGCGGCTCTCGGCGGGGCGGCGGCGGGACGCGCGGCGGCGGGCGCGGCGCAGCGAGCGAGTTGGTCTCGGCGCTCGACGGCTTCGAGTCGGAGCTGGGCGAGCTGCGCTGCTCTCGGCGCGTGGCCTCGGTCGGCGAGGTTGGCGCGGCGGTCGGCCGGATGGGCGCCATCGCTACGCGGCTGCTCTGGTCGCACCTCGTCCTCGAGCGGGGCCTGCCGCGGCTGCTCGAGGCGCTCAAGGCGCACTTCCTGCTCGGCCGGGGCGAGGTGTACCACCGCCTCCTCCTCGAGCTCCTCCCGGCGATGCGCAAGCCGCCCGCGCCCTCGCTCGACCTCGGCCTCGCCCTCAGCCACGCCCTCGCCGCCTCGGGGCCCGAGCGGCCGCACGAGGCGGGGCTGGCGCTCACTCTGCCGCCCGCGGCGGCGGGCGAGTCGGCGTACGCCGCCTGGCGCCGCCTCGGCCTCCGCCTGCCGGTCGAGTGGCCGCTCTCGCTGCTGTGCGGCGGCGAGGCCCTCCGCCGCTACTCGGCCCTCTTCTCGCGGCTGCTGACGGTCAAGCGGGTGCAGATGGAGCTGCACGCGGCGTGGGCGTCGCAGATGGGCCGCGGCGAGCGGGGGCGCTCCCCCCCGGAGCAGGCGGCGCTGCGCCCCCTCTGGCGGCTGCGAGCGCACATGGCCTTTTGGGTCGACTCGCTGCAGTACTACCTGCAGGTCGACGTGCTCGACGTGGGCTGGCAGGCGCTGGCCGCGGCGGCGGCGGAGGAGGAGGACTTCGAGGCGCTCGCGGCGGCGCACGAGGCGACGCTCGCCTCGCTCTCCTCGCAGTGCTTCCTGCAGGCCGGCTCCGTCTCGGCGGCGCTCCACTCCCTCTTCCAGCTCTGTCTCGCGCTCTGCCGGCTGGCCGAGCTCGCCGACACGGGGCTGCGGCAGCCGGCGGAGTGGGCGGCGCAGGTGGACGCAATCGCGCGCGAGTTTGAGCGGCAGACCTCCTTCCTCCTCGCCCACCTCTCGAGCCTCGCCAGCCCGCAGGCGTCCCCCCACCTCAGTCAGCTGCTGCTCCGGCTCAACTTCAACGGGATGTTCCGGGTTGGAGCCGGTGACGTAGCGCGTAGGTTAAAATGTTCGTAAATTTCTAACAGCACGTGCCAGTCCGGCTCCGGCTCAGGTCGCGGGGCATAGCTCGGGTGTAAACGGGGTCTGGGGCGGAAGCCCCAGCGGCCCGCCGCAGGCGCCGCCGGAGGCCCCGGCCCGCCGCAGGCGCCGATTTTTTGTGGCGTTTTTGCTCAAAATTGAGAGACATTTCTCATCAAATTCTCATCAAAATCGAGCTCGCTACGAGCTCTCTAACTGCAGGACAGCATCTCCTCGTTGAGCCTAGCGGCGCCCGTATCGCCCACCCCCACGTTCTTCTTCTTCTTCTTGCCCTTCTTGCCCTTGGCCCTTGCTGCACTTAGCCGCTCAACCTCCGTCAGCAGCAGTCCTTGGCATGCCGCGCCGCCTCCATCTGCTTTGCTTCCCACGCTGCCGCTTCCTCTAAAGCAGCGCCGCCACTAAGCGGCGCAACCAAGTTCTCGCATTGTTTGCATGAGCACGTGTCCTGCTTGGCGCGGCGCACAATCCGCGCGCGGCGAGTGCGTGAGAGCAGAAGACTGACAGCAGGAGCTGCAGGAGCTGCAGGAGCTGCGCAGGTCGGATGGGCGGTGACGCCGTCGAGCGACGGCGCAAAGGCCAATCGCTGCTGCTGCGCAACGAGAGCGGCGACACGAGGCTGCTGGCAGCTGGCAGAGCGAATCGCGATTCCGGCGGCCGCCGTCAGCCCGCCGACACCGACGGCCGAGCTGAGGTCAAACTCCGCCACAGGTCGGACCATCCGTGCGTCAGCCATGGGACGAGACGTCTGTGTGCAGACAGCCCGCCACCCGGGCGATAGAACATGCCAGCTGCTTGCAGGGCTCTCGTGGCCCGTGGTGAATAGGGCGGGCTGCGGCGGGCGCATAAACTATTCACAGCTTGAACACCGGGAAAACTAAAGTCTGCAGAAAAGTTCGAGCGGTCTTCGTGCTCAGAAGGATCAAGAGAGCTCTATTCACACCCTTTGTGCGTTGAAGACCACAGGCAATGCCCGTTTACACCCAACCGACGAGTCGCTGGCTAGTGCAAGGGGCTCTGTCGAGCCGCCTGCGGCGCTCCCGCCGCCGGCGGGGTGCAGCGGCGCTGCGCGCCGCTGCGGAGGCCGCGCTGCGCGCGGGGGAGGGGGAGGGTGTACGGGAACCAGGGGGGACCGGGGAGGGGCGGGGGGGGAAGCAGGTAACCCGGCACCACTCCTCCCCCCGCAGGCGCGCGCTGCAAGGCCGGGCACTCAAAACACGGCAGACGAGGAGGCGCCGCTGATGGCGGGCGGCGTGACCCGGCGCGCGCCCCCGCGCGCGTGCGGCTACGGCTACGGCGGCTCGGGCGGCGGCGGCGGCGGCGGCTACCCCGGCGGCAGCTACACCGAGGTCGAGTATCACCGCGGCCGGAAGCCGTCCATGTCGGGCAGCCTGATCGGCTCGGTCGTCGGGCTCTTCCTCCTCGCCGGCGCGACCGCGCTGCTGTGGACGAACGAGGGCTCGGCGGTCGCGGCCCAGTACGGGCTTCTCGAGGCGGAGAGGCACCACGCGGCCGGCACGGGCGGCGTGGCGCACCTGAGCGGGGAGCTTCGCGGCCGCGGCGACGGCATGCTGCGCGACGACGCCTTCGACGTCCACGCGGCGGCCATCTGGCTGGAGCGGGTGGCGGAGGTGTACCTCTGGAAGGAGCACGCGCACGAGAGCCGCAGAAAGGTGCCCGACGGGAGGGGCGGCACGATGACGGAGACGGTAAAGACGTACTCGTACCGGGAGCAGTGGTCGAGCCGCGAGGTGCGCTCGGCCGAGTTCCGAGACCCGCGCGCGCCAGCCAACCCGAGCTTCGACGAGGCGCTGCGTGACGCGGGGCCCGGCTTCTCGAACGAGCGGTGGAGCCAGCCGGTGACGCTGCATGGGCTGCAGCTCGCGCGCGGGCTGCTGCAGCAAGCCGGCGACGGGGAGAGGCTCGGCCACAGCGTCTACGCGCCGGGCTGCGAGGGCGGCCGGCCGGCGATCGGGTGCGCTCGCCTCTCGTGGAAGCACGCGCCGCTCGGCGAGGTGAGCGTCCTCGCCCGCCGCGCGAGAGACGGGCTCGAGCCGTGGGTCGCCTCGTCGGGCTTCGAGCTCGCGATGCTGCGGCGCGGCCAGCACACGCCGGCGGCCATGTTCGCGGCCGCGGCGGGCGCCAACGCGGCGTGGAAGTGGGGCATGCGCGCGCTCGGCGGCGTCCTCGTCTGGGCGGGGTGGGGCCTCGTCCTCGGCCCGTTCTCGTACCTCGCCTCGTGGGTGCCTCTCCTCGGCGGGCTGGTGGGGTGCGCGGTCGGGCTGCTCGCGCTCAGCCTGGCCGCCGCGCAGACCCTCGTGGTCGTCGCGCTGGCGTGGCTCTGGTACCGGCCCCTCCTCTCGGCCACCCTCCTCGCCCTGGCGGCCGCCTCGTTGTTCCTCGGCTACGGAAGCCTCCGCAGCCTCCGCCGCGGCGGTGCGCGCGCGGCCAGCGCGCCGAGGCCGGCGGCGTCGGCGGCGTCGGCCGCGGCCGCAGCGGCCACTGCACGGGCGACGGGCGACTCCCCTGCCTCCGTCCAAGTTGGGGAGAGGCTGGCGCAGCTCAAGTCGATGCTGGACCGGGGCCTGATCACCCAGGCGGACTACGACGCCAAGAAGGAGGAGCTGCTCAGCAGGATGTGATGCCACCGCCGCGCCTGCCGCCTCGCATGTAGTCCCTCCCCCAAGCTGCGGCAGCGCGCATGCGCAATGAGGGAGTGGGGGCCGCTTGGACGCCTCCCGACCTCCGCCAGTCGGCCTAGAGCAGGGAGGGGCTCACTAGAGTCTAGACGCGGTGGTCGTAGCGCTCACGTGGGTGACACAAAACTCTTTCGGGGGGTTATGGATTTGGATTGTGGGTTTTGCTAGGCCTACACTCTAGATCTCTACACTCTAGGGCGTGTTTTTTGTGTGGGTGTTTTGTGGGGTTTCTACGGCTTACGTACGGGGTGTGGACCCTGAGTTGACCAGGGGTTGTGCGCTGGGCTCTCCTGCTCGGCTCCAGCCAGTAGACAAGTCTTGTCATCAACAGAGTAGAAGGATCTGACCTCGGGGCCGATGTGACCAAGCGCTGGTAGCGTGGTTTTACCTCACACCCATGGTCTCACAGTGTGCCGGCAGTCGCCGAGCAGTGTCGCTCACACAAGCCGCAGCACAAGTGACTGAGGGCCAGTGAGGGCGAGCCCATCGCTGTCACAGCTGTGGCAGCCGCACAGCAGGCTGTGTCAACTGTGCAGAGTGTGTGAACAGCAGAGGAGCTGCTCTCCAAGCTTCAGGCGCAAAGAGCTGCATGCCACCGAAAGCGCTGTCGAGGTTCGCCGAGCGCGGCGCAGGTTGGAGGACACCGTCACCGACGAGCGCGTTGGACTTTTCACTCCGGACAAAGACAGTGGCACGCGCCGCTGCGCGGTGCGTGCCACTGTCTTAGCGGCGAGGCGCGGGACCGTCTGTGGCGAAGTGGTCGCGTCCTCCGATTTCCTGAACTCACGGTCCGCTCCCTCTAGGCTAGGCCTAAGAGGGGTTTTGTGCTCGTGACGAGCAGACACGAGACAGCAGAGTCCAAGCCCAAGAGCACGACGGTGGCCGATGCGGGCATACTTAGCCGTATGTTCTGTATCTGAGATACAGCGGATTTCACCGGTCACCGTCATACGGCTTTTTAACACCGGCCAGGTGTCGGCTGTCGCTGCCCTCCCCCAATTCTCTCCACGCCGTCTCTAGCGCTGCAGGACAGCAGGGCTGGAGCGGCTCCCTATCGAGCGCGAGCGAGTGGCCCGAGGCGGCACCGGGGCGGGGTAAGAATCGTGGTCGTCGGGGGCTTTGATTGTCCCCCAGCTGAAGGTGGCGCCGCCAGAGGCGACCGCGAGGCGGGCAAAACTCCCTGCGGCAAAGGAATCGCACGCGTCCGCCACTCGCACGCCTCGCACCTCCTCAACGATCCGTGGCGTAGGCTGCGCGCGGCGCGGCGGAGGCGGTTCGTCCAGGCCAAAGCTGTACAGCACGCCAAAATTGTCTAGCGCCAACGAGTGGTCGGCTCCTCCCGCGGCCGCTTTGATGCGCACCGCCTCGAGCGCCGCCACCGGCTGTGGCAGAAGCTGGTCGGCCCTGTCGCCATGCCCCAGTTGGCCGTGCCCGCCATAGCCAAAGCTGTAGATCGCGCCGCGATCGCTGACCGCGAGGCTATGGTGGGCCCCCGCCGCGACTGCGACCACCCTGCCGCGCTCTGGCAGGGTGCCCTCGTTGCCAACACCGTTGACCTGACGGTGATTTATTATAGCCTACCCGGCCGTCACGGGCGCTACGCTGAAAACGAAGAGTGGGTGGAGGACGCCACCTTTGTCCCCGGCTCGTGGGCCGACCGCCTTCCCGAGGGGCTGCTGGACAAGGTGGGCAAATCCTTCCCACACCTACTGGTCGCGGGCGAAAATATCCGCTGCGAGGACGGCTTCAAGCTGGACGCTTACTCCAACGCGCAGGTGAATCTGTTCGGTCATCTCGGCGACTTTATCGTCCTGGACGCGTGGGAAGAAGTGCTCGAGCCCCTATTCCGAGGCAAGGAGGTCCGGTGCGGTCCCGGCTGGAAGGCGCCAGCGCGACCCTCGGACATCTGCCCGGCGCGACGTGGCTGTGACTAGTAGAGGGCAAAGGTACTAGAGGTAGTACCCCGTTTTCAGTTCTTTGTCCCGTGAATAAATAAAACGGACACGCCAAATTCAGGGTGGGAGACCTGTTCCTTTTTACCCATCTCCTAATAGAGAGGTGTCCGTTTTATTTATTTATTATTTAGGGGTGGGAGAAGGACAGGGTCCCCACACCTGAACAAGTAGGATCTTGGAAGGACGATCACACAGGGACACAAGGCTCAAGGGACGGGAGCGGGGAGCGCATCGCGACGCGGAGGGGGGGCTGTGCAGGCAGGATTCACCCACACGACAGGGTCCCAGCACGCGGCGGCACGGGGGCAGGGCACAGGGCGGTTGCGCTTTCGTTGTTCGCCAGCGCCGAGTGGGTTCAAATTTATTGGCATGTCTATGCATGGGCCCATGCAGCTCCCAGCGGAGGATGCTCAACTCTCCACGCCTCGCCGGCTACTCCAAGCCATCTCTCTTTTGATAAGCCAGTGTCCACGCAGCCCGGCTCTGCCCATCCGACCTGCTCTCATGGCGACCGGCAAAGACCTCAACCCGTCGTACCTGCGCGAGCGCGGCCGCCACTCGGATGGGCAGCGGTTCCGCTTTCAGAATTTCGCGCAGCGCGTGGCGGCGGTGGATATTGACGTGCACCACCGCTTGACGGCTGACGACATGGCTGAGTGGCGTCGCGAGGCTGGCGAGGAGGAGGCCGAGGAGGCCCGCCCCTTCGCCATGCAGACCCTCGAGCGGTGGGTCGAGCTCAACCAGACAGGGCAGTTCACCGCCTTCCGCACCGAGCTCTCGCCGATGCTGCTGTCGGTGCCGCTGATGCTGCACCGGCAGGACGCCATCTTTGAGGCGCTGCATCGGCACCTGACGGGCGTGAGTACCGAGGCGCTCCCGCCCATGCTCGAGCTCGCCACTGCGCTCGCCGTCGACCTTCGCCAGGAGTTCTACCCGCGCTTTGCCCCGCTGCTTGGAGCGCTCGGCCGGCTGCTCGGCTCGAGCGCCGAGGACGTCGCCCGTGTGGAGGCGGTCTTCACCGCCGCCGCCTACCTGCTGAAGTACTTGCTGCGCCAGCTGCTCGCGGACCTGCCCGCCGCGCTCGCCGCCTACGCGCCCCTCCTCTCCCACCCAAAGCAGCACGTCCGCGACTTTGCCGCCGAGTCGTTTTCGTACCTGCTGCGCCGCCTGCCGCGCGCCTCGCTGCCTGCGGCGCTGCCGGCGACGCTGCTGCCGCAGATCGGCTGTTCGTCCAACCTCGACAGCGGCATCGCGCTCCTCCTGTTCCACACCGTGCGGGGCCTCAGCCAGCGCTTCCACTCCCGCACGCCCGAGGTCCTCGCTCCGCTCCTCGAGGCGCTCTCCTCCGCCTCCTCCACCGCCTCCGCCTCCGCCGCCTCCGCCTCTGCCTCCGCCGCCTCTGCTGTCGCCGCCCCGGGCGAGGAGGGCGCCGCCCCGGGGCCTAGCGCGGCTCCGCCAGGCGGCTCGCGCGGCGCGCTGCTCGAGGTGCTCTCCGAGGTGAGGGGCGAGCAGAGCGCGCAGGCAGCAGTGCGCCCTTCTCTGCACCCCTCTCTGAGCCGTCCTGTAGGCGCTCGGCCTGATGAGCGAGCACACGCGCAGGCAGCACTGCGGGCCCGTGTGGAGCGCGCTGCTCTGCAGCCTCGACGAGGCGGTCGGCGCGCTGTGCGACGCATTGCAGCCGGACGGAGCGACGGCCGAGCCGGCCGAGCCGCCGCGGGGCAGGGCGGCGGGTCCGCGGGCCGCTCGGGTCGCGTCGCTCTGCCGGCTGGCGCGCGAGTGGGTGGCGGCGCGGCGCGGCTCGCGCGTCCCGCCCGGCGACCTCGGCGCGCTGCTCGGCGCCGTCTCCCCGCTCCTCGGCGAGCTGGTCCTCCCCTGCACTCGCGCGCTCAAGCCCGCCACCCGCCGCGCGCTCCTCGAGGAGGTGTCCGAGCTGATCGCCGCAGTGCTGCTCGTCGACACGCCGGCCACCGACGCCGCGGTCGCCGCCGCGAGTGTGATGGCCGCGTCGGAGGAGCCGGGCGCAGGCGTGCTCCGGCAGGCGGAGGCGCTGCTCCACGCTCTGTTTGGCGACGCGCTCTCGTCAGGCGGCGCCGGCGCCGACGACGACGCAGCCGAGCTGCTGCCGCTGCGGTTCGGGCTCCGGTTGGCGGGGTGGCGCCGCTTTGGCGAGGCGGTGCTGCCGCTGCTGCTCGCGCGCTGCGACGCCCTCGCGCCGCGCGCGCCGCGGGCGGTTCGCGCGCTCCTCTTCGGACTCAGCCGCGCGCAGCCTCCGCCTCCGCCGGTGCAGCTGCCAGCGGAGTGCGCCGCGCTGCTGATCGACGCGCTCGAGGCGCCGGCGCGGCCGTCTGCGCCGGTGAGCACGGGGCGCGAGGCGTGGGAGGCGGCCTCAGCGCTGGCGTGCTGTGCGCCGCTGCCCACGGCTGTCGCCGAGCGCTGCCGCGTCGCTCTGCGCAGCCTTCTGGCGACGCCTCACCCAGCCGCTCGAGCTGCAGGGCACGAGATGGCCGCCGTCGCAGCCGCGGCGCTCAACGCACTCGTCGCCAGCACGCCCTCGCCCTCGGTGTCGGCTTCGAAAAAGGCGCGCCGCCGCAGCGCCGCCGCCGCCGACGCCGCTGCCGACGAGGGCCCGCGACAGCTGCTGCGGCTTGGAGTGGCCGCGCTGCGGGCCCACCTGAACCAGGCCCAGCCGTCCCGCCAGGCGCAAGGCGGCGCGGGCGGCGGCGCAGGTTTCGCCGCTGCCCCCGGCCCGTCCGTCGCTCTGCTGCAGGCTTGCGCCGCCGCCGCGCGCACTCTTTCCGCGGCCGGCGGCGGTGGCGTGGGCGGCGGCGCGGCGGCGCTTTCGGAGCCGCTCAGCGCTCTGTGGGACGCTCTGCTGCCGAGCCTCTCCCACGGCGGCGCTGCGGTGCGGTGCGCGGCACTCGACCTCCTCTCGGAGCTGGAGCGGCTCGGCGTGGCGGCGGCGGACGGCGTGGCGGCGGCAGCGGCGGAGAAGGGCTCCACCGCGCGGATGCTCGAGCTCTGCCTCGCCCTCGAGGCGTCGCCGCAGGCGCCAACCTCCCGCCAGCTCGTGCTCGACGCCGAGGCGCTCACGCGCCTGGCTACGAGCGGCGGCGCGATGCCGCCCCACGCGACGCGAGCCCTCGCCTACTACTCGCTCGGCGTGCTCCGCATTCGGTTCGCGCGCGCTTGGGCGCACGCGCCGCCGCTGCTGCAGGCGATCGCTCGCTCGCAGCCCACGACGCTGTGGCCGCTAGTCGTGGACGCCGTCGCGAGCGCCCGCCGCAGCCTTGGCATCGGCGGAGGCGGCGAGCAGGGAGGCGGTGGCGCGGTGGGCGGCGGCGCCGACGCGCCCGAATACGCGGCGGCGGAAGAGGGTTCGGTGCCAGAGGGGGTGGCGGCGCTGTGGGCCGAGGTGCAGTCGGCTTGGGCCGAGGTCACCTCACCGCCGGCCGTCGAGACGGAGGTGTCGCACCTCGCGACCCAGCTGCTCAAGACGCTCGCAGCCTCGGGCCCGCTGCACGGCCTCGCGGTCCGCCACGCCGGCGACCTCATGCCGCACTGGCACGAGCTCGCGCGCGACCAGCTCCGCCTCGCGGCCGTCGACGTCCCCGCCGACTCTGATGCGATCCCGGACGCCGACGCGGACGCAGAGGCGGACGCAGAGGCGGCCGCTAGCTCGACCTCGCGCCGGGCCGCCTCGGGCGGCAAGAAGCTGCTCGCGGAGTGGCTCCGCTTCTTCGCCGCGGTCGAGGCGCCGCGGCGGCTCCCGTCGGCCGACGCGTTGTACGGCGAGGCGAGCGCGCTGGTGGGCCACCCGCTGCCGGCGGTGCAGACGCTCGCGCTCGACGTGCTCGCGCGGTGGGGGCAGCCGCCGCTGCTCAAGTACCGCAAGCAGCTTGGCGGGCTGGTCGACGGGAAGACCTTCCGCGAGACGCTTGCGCTCTTCGACGTCGACGCGCAGGGCTCGACCCTGGCCGCCGACGAGCGGTCTCTGCTGCTGCCGCTTCTCTGCCGGCTGCTCTTTGCGCGGCTCACGCGGCGCGTCGGCCGCGGCTCCTCCAAGTCGGGGATGGCCTCCACCCGCGCGACCGTCTTCGCCTTCTTTGGCGGGTTCGCGCCCGCCGAGCTGCGGCCCCTCCTCGACCTGATGCTGGCGCCCATCGCCGCAGCGGCGCCCGCGACGCTCATGCCGCTCGCGGCGGCGCCGTCGCCGCGGCTCGAGGCGGCGGGGGGCGGCGGCGCGGCGGCGGCGCTTTGGCGCGTCGACGGCTCCGTGCAGCTCGGCGTGCTGCGCAGCTTGCACGAGGCGGCGGCGCAGCTCGGCGTACGGCTACTGCCGTACGCCGCCGAGCTGCTCGCGGCGGACGTCGCACTGCTGCAGTACTCGTCGCACTGCGCGGCGGCCGCCGACCCGGCCGAGGCGGAGCTGATGCCCGCCGGCGCCGCGCTGCCCGCCGCGACGACGCACGCCGAGCTCCCGCTCCCCGTGGCGCGCGACGTGCGCGGGTGGGCCATCAAGCTGCTCGGCAAGCTGTGCACGCTCGCGCCGCCCGAGCAGGCGGCGCTCGAGGCGCACACGCTGCTGCTCGAGGCGGCCTTGCCGCGCGCGTTCGCCTGCGTGGCCCCAGTGATGCTGCGGCTGCACACGCACTACACCCAGTCCCCCGCCGGCCTGCTCTCGCTGCTGCTGCAGCTCGCCCAGTCGCCGCACGCGCTGCGCCTCCTCCGCCTCTCGCCCGCCCCGCCGCTCGACTGCGCCTTCCGCCTCCTCTCCGCCCCCGCCGTCGCCCCCGCCGTTGTCGACGTCGTCCTCTCCCTCGCCGAGACGCTGCTCGCCCACACCGCTGCCGGCAAGGGCGCGGGCGAGGCTGCGGTCGTCCCCGGCGCTCTCGGCGGTGCCGTCTCCTCGCCTGGCGGCGGCGAGGGTGCCCACGCCATCGCCGCGCCCGGCGGGGCGGCAAGCGCCGCGGTGGTGGCCGCGGCCGCGGCCGAGGCGCGCTCGCTGCTCGAGACGCACGTCGCGCTCCTCCTCTCGCAGCTGCACGCGCGGCTGCAGCGCAAGTTTGGCGGCGACCCAAGCAAAGCGCTCGCGGCGGCGGGCACCGGCGACCAGGCGACGCGCGAGCTCCGGCTGCTGTCGGCGCTGGTCGGGTACGTGGCGTCGTCGGAGCAGGCCGAGCAGCTCGTGCAGCTCTTCCTGCCGTACCTCCGCCTCAAGTCGTCGGGCCGCGCCGAGCGCGTCAAGGAGCACGTTCTGCGGGTGTTGCGCGGCCTCCTCCGGCTCGTCCCTCAGCCGCACGCGCACACCCGCTTCCTCGGGCTGCTCTTCGGCGCGCTCCGCTCGCGCGGCGCGCGGGAGGCGCTCTGCGGCGTCTGGGCAACCCTCGCGGAGCTCGAGGACGGCTCCGACGCGCCAGCGCCAGCGCCGTTCCCTCGGGCGGAGGCTGCGCGGCCTCGCCGTGGCGGGAAGACGGCGGCGGACAAGGCTGCAGAGCCGGCGGCCGCCCCTCGGCCGTCGCTTCGCGGGGTCCGGCCAACGGCGCTGGCGCTGCAGCAGCTCAACGCCTTTGCGCCCGGCGCGATCGACGAGCCCGACTACGACGCGCGCATCGACGCGTACTCCTCGATCCCGCCGCTGCTCGAGTCGGGCCTGTCGACGGCATGCGCCCTGCCGCTCCTCTGCCAGTGCGTGCACGACGTCGAGCTCGACGACATCGCGCTGCGCCACTCCGCGACGCACACCGTCGGCATCATCGTGCAGCATGCCGCGGCGGCGGCGGGGAGGGAACGCGCGGCCGCCGGGGAGGATGGCGGCGGCACGGGCCAGTCGCACTGGCACGCGCTGCTGCAGCAGGTGCTGATGCCGGCGCTGCGCCGCGGGCTGCGGCTGCCGCCCGAGAAGGAGCTGGTGCGCGCCGAGATGATCCGGCTGATCTCGGTCGCGCTCTCGCACGAGCCTTCCCTCGAGCCGCAGCTGGCCGCGCTGCTCTCGCCGGGCGACCTCGAGGCTGACTTCTTCCAAAACATCACCCACGTGCAGCTGCCGCGGCGGCAGCGCGCCATCGCGCGGCTCAAGAAGAAGATCGAGGGGGGCGCCTTTGGGCCGACGACGCTCGCCAGCTACCTGCTGCCGCTCCTCTCCCACATCGCGCTCAAGCCCTCTGCCAAGGAGGTGGACGTCGCCGAGGAGGCCGTCGCAGCTCTCCGCTCGCTCGCGGCGCAGCTGCCGTGGCGGCCGTACCACGAGCTCCTCCTCTCCCTCTCCCGCCGCCTCCGGCTGGACCCGTCGCTCGAGCGGCGGCTCGTGCGCGCGCTCGTCGCCGTCATCGACGGCTTTCACTTCGACCTCGCGCCCGCCGACGACGAGTACGGCGCGCCGTCGGCCGACCGCGGCGCGTGCCGCCTCACCGACGAAGAGATAGGGCGCATCTTCGCGGCGCGGGTGCAGGCGCGGCAGGCGCGCGACTACGAGGCGGCCGACCGGCTGCGAGAGGAGCTGGTTGCAAAGGGGATCGTCTCCGTCGACGACAAGGGCAACAGCTGGCAGGCGGCCGACGGCCGGCGGGGCTCGATGGACCCGTTCAGCGTGGACGAGGCGTCGAGGGAGACTGGCCGCCTCGCTGCCGCGGCGGCGGTGGGCCCTGCTGCCGACGGGGCGCCGGCCGACTCCGCCAACGGAGGCGAGGGGGCGGAGGGGGGGGCGGAGGCGGTGGCGGAGGCGGCGGCGGAGGAGGAGGACGGGGAGGAGGCTGGCGAGGATGAGCTGCTCGTGGGTGCGGCAGAGGGGGGCGGCGCGGCCGACGCCGCGCCCTCCGCCGACGACGAGGCTGTGCGCGCCCGCGCGCGGGCCATCCTGCAGGCGGTGCAGGGCAAGCTGCTTCCGCAGCTGTACAACCACATCAAGGACCCAAAGACGGAGGGCGCTCGGGTCTCGGTCGCGCTCGCCGTGCTGAAGCTGCTCAAGCTGATGCCGCCCCGGGTGCTGAAGCTGCAGCTGCGCGGCTTTCTGATGCGGCTCGTCGCCACGCTCTCCTCGCGCGAGAAGAGCGTGCGCCAGAAGGGGCGCGAGGCCCTCGCCATGGTTGCGGTTGAGCTGGGCGCCGAGCACTTTGGCGCCATCGCGTACGAGCTGCAGTCGAGCCTGCGGCGCGGCTTCCAGCTGCAGGTGCTCGGGCACGCGCTGCACTTCCTGCTCGCCAAGCTCGTGCCGACGGTGGCGGTCGGCTCGCTCGACAGCTGCGCGCCGCTCCTCGTCCGGCTCATCCTCGCCGACGTCTTTGGCGAGGCGGCCGAGAAGAAGGAGGTGGACGCGATTGCAAACTCGATGCGCGAGGCACACTCGACGATGTCCTTCGCCTCGATGGAGCTCCTCGCGTCCGTCATCACCTTTGTCCCCACCGTCAACGAGCTGGTGCCGCACATCCACCGCGCGGCGGTCGACGCCGGCGGCGCCACCACCCTCAAGCACGCCAACAACGCGCGCGAGCTCCTCCGCCGCTGCGTGATCGGCCTCTCCGCCAACCCGTCCGTCGGGCTGCAGCCGCTCACCGTCTACTGCGCCGGCCTCCTCTCGACGCACCTCCCGCCAAAGCGGGGCGGCGCCGCGCCCGCGCCCGCGCCCACACCCGCCGACGCGGCGGTGCCCGCCGGCGGCGACGCCGCCCCGCGCCGCAGCCGCGCCGCCCCCGTCGACTCTGTGCTTCGCCCCGAGGTGGAGGAGGGGGTGACGTCGGGCAGCGGGGGCGGCGGCCCGCTCGCGCACGAGCTGCTCGGCTTCAGCCTCTCGCTGCTGCTGTCGGCGCTGCGGCGCGGCCGCTTCGAGTCGCGCGAGCCCGAGGCGCTGGCGCTGCTCGAGCCCTTCCTGCCGCTGCTCGTCCGGGCGATGCGCTCCGACGACGACGCCGTCGTCTCCACCGCGCTGCGGGTCCTCTCGTCGATGCTCGGGCTGCCGCTGCGCGCGCTGCCCGCGCACGCGATGGTGCTCCTCGACCGGACGATGGGCCTGCTCCGCAAGTCCGCCAACTTCACGCCGCTCTCGGACCTCGTCGGCGTCTGCCTCAAGGTGGTGACCGCGCTGCTGCGCAAGCCGCCGCGCGCCGCCGCCGCCGCCGCGCCCGCCGCGGGCGACGCCGACGCCGAGGGCGCGGGCGCGGAGGCGGCCCCGAGCGAGGCGCGCGGCGCGAGCGGCGGCGGCGCGCGGCTGGGCGAGCCGCAGCTGCGCTGGCTGCTCAAGTTCGTGCAGGTGCACCTCGACGACGGAGGGTTGCAGCCGTCGCTCTTCGGCCTGCTGCGCGTCGTGCTCGGCCGCCGCTTTGTGCTGCCCGAGCTGTACGACATGATGCTCGTCGTGGGCGACATGGTGCTGCAGGCGGACGCCGAGCCCGTGCGCAGCGCGTGCGGCTCGCTCTTCCTCACCTTCCTCCTCAACTACCCGCTCGGCCCGAAGCGGCTGCAGCAGAACCTCGACTTCCTCGTCTCAAACCTGGGGTACGAGGTGCCGTCCGGCCGCGCGTCGCTCCTCGCGCTCGTGCGGCAGGTCGTCCTCAAGCTGCCGCCACCGCTGCTGCACGAGCAGGCCGACCGGCTCCTCCTCCCGCTCGTCGCGCGCCTCGTCAACGAGACGGACCGGAGCTGTGTCGCCGCCGTCGGCGAGGCCGTGCGAGCGCTCCTCGGGCGCGTGTGCGCGCAGTCGGGCGGCGCCAAGGCGGCGGGCGCGCGCGAGCGGGTGCTGAAGCTGCTGCGCGCCTGGTTCGCCGCGGCGCCGCAGCAGCCCGCGCTGGCGCGGGCGGCGGCGCAGCTGGCGGGCCTGCTGGTCGACTCGCTCGGCGAGGCGGGCTCCATCACCGCCGCCGTCGTGCCGCTGCTCGTCTCGAGCTGCGTCGACGAGGCTGCCCGCGGCGACGAGGAGCGGGAGGAGGAGGGCCAGGGCGGCGGCGGCGGCGACGACGGCGAGGACTCGCCTTCCGCGCTCCGATGGCAGGCGGCCTACTTCTCGCTGCGCGCGCTGTGCAAGCTCGGCGCGCGCTCGCCGGCGCTGCTCGCCAGCGCGCCGTGCGCGCCGCTCTGGGCGCACCCGACGGCGCGCCGGCTGCTGCTGCACGAGCACGCCTGGGTGAGGCACGCGATGGGGCGCGCCGTCGGCGCGCTGCTCGCGCTGCTCACTGCCGAGCAGCTGGTTTCCGAGCCGCTCGCGCCGCACGGCTGCTTGGGCGGCGACGGAGGCGGGCTCGTCCGCATCGCCGACGCCATCGCCGAGCAGCTGCACTCTTCGCTCCTCAACGAGGCCGCGGCGCAGCAGGCGCTGCGCTCGCTCCTCTGGATCGGGCTCGCGACGCGGAAGGAGCCGTCGCTCGCCCCGCAAAGCCGCGAGCACGAGCGGCTGCTGCGCGGCGGCGGCGGCGGCGGCGAGGAGGGAGAGGGCGAGGGCGAGGGCGAGGGCGAGGGAGAGGGAGAGGGAGAGGGCGAGGGCGAGGGCGAGGGCGAGGGCGAGGCAGGTGGCGACGAGGAGGAGGGGGAAGAGGGCTCGAGGCTGTGGGCCTTGCGGCTACTCAGCATGCGGCTTGCGCCGCTCATGCGCAAGCCCGGCGAGGTGCGCGGCTCTGCCGCGGCGCGGTGGTACGGCGCACTCGCTTCGGAGCTCTCGCAGCCGCAGCTGGACGCGCTGCTGCCGGTCATCGTGCCGCCGGTGGCGCGCGCAGCGGACGACGCGTCGGGCCACGTGCACGCGGCGGTCAAGGCGCGCGCGGCCGAGGTGCTCGCGCTGCTACAGCGCGCGGCAAGCCCGCCCGCTTTTGTCGCCGTCTACCAGCGCGTGCAGGACGCGACGCGCGACGCGCGGCGCGAGCGCAAGCGCAAGGCGGCGCTGGCGGCGGTCGCCGACCCAGAGGCGACGGCGCGGCTGCGCATCGCCAAGAACCTGTCCAAGAAGCGGCAAAAGGCGCGCAAGCTGAGCACGATGAAGCGGCAGCGCGATGGGGGCGGCTCGCTCGGGCTGGGTACGGGGAAGAAGAGGAGGCAGACCGAGGCGAGGCGTTGACCCTTCGGATGTGGGTGAGACCTATCCCTTGAGATGTGAGAGGTTGGCCCTTGATGTGAGGCTGAGCTGTATTGTACTTACTTGAGTGAACTTATTCTACATTAGGAATCAAAAAAGGAACACCGACCCTCACGAGACGTGAGTGACTATCACTGCACCGCTGTTGCTGACTTGGACTTTTTCTCCCCTGGCATGCCATCACCGGGCGGTCCACCCTTCCATTTCGGTAGATCGTCGTTCCAGTCAAAAAGGCGATTCTCGTAATGCACATGGCATCGAGGCCTATAGATCTCTGGGACCAAGCAACTCGCTCCATCTTCGATCTGAAATGTGGACGGGAAGACGGCGCGGAAGTAGCTGCTGAACGCGTGCAACCCTTGACAAATTCCGCAGCCGCACTCGCTGCAAAATAAGTGCTCCATGTCTCCGTATCCTTTGGCAACCTGGAGCTTGTCCTCTCCCTGCGTGAACGTTATAATATCTGCATCACCGCCTTTTGTCACGATGATGAGCTGAACCGGCGACATCCCTTTCGCACGGCTGCAAGTCCGACAGTGGCATAACACATTCCCCTGTATGTTGCCGCTCGCTTTGAACTTGATGGCTCCACACAAACAAGAGCCGGTCTGCTCGATTTTCCCGAGCGGCTGCTGCATGAGTGTGTGTGTCAGGTTGTTCTTGTGCCGCGTCGGGGCGGACGGACGTGGCTCTCCGCCAAACACAAGGGCGCACTTATTTTTTTCAGTGTATGTAGCTCTTACGAACATACCCGTAGGTGAACTGCTGACAGGGTTTGCGATGAGGAGCGATCCGAACGTGGTATTCGGGTGATTAGATCACTACCGCCGAAGCGCAAGCGCTTGGAGCAAGGGAACCGCCACGTATGGGTCCCAGACTAGCACCCCACCTCGCGAGCCGACGTTCTGGCTCAGCGAGGCTGCTGCGGAGCACTCTTTTTCAGTGTACGTAGCTCCTAGTACAAAAGAAGGTTAACCCGCACTGGGTTAGCTGTCTGTGGGTTAGGGTGACCCGTCTTTACCCGAGCTGACCCGTGCCGGGTTAGTGTGGCTTAACCCGCTGGAACCCGCGCTAACCCGTGCTAACTAACCCGCGTTTAGAGAGTGTGTTTGTTTGTTGTTCGCGTTTACCGATATAGACTCACCAAAGTGATTTGATCACCGAATGCCACGCTTCGGATCGCAGCTCCTTGTTTTTCCCCTTCCTACCTACCTACCTAGCTCCTCATCGCAAACAAAACCTGTCAGCAGTCCTCTCCGGGTACTATTGCAATACGTAAGAGCTAGGATTCCTACATAAAAGAAGAGTTCGCGCGCCCGTCGTTGCGAAGCCGCATGCTGCTGCCGCTGCTCTTCATCACGGGCTTCGCGTCGATGCCGTCCGACACGTGCACCCTGGACTCAGGGGTGCCCGTGCAGTGGAAACCGGGTTGCTGCGAAGATCCGACTGGCTTTCGGGACGCAGACGCCATAGTCAAGTACCCGAATTCGACCGGGTCGTGTGCAACAAAGGACAATCATATCGGCACTACTGACCCACGCGTCTTTGGACCATCACTTTGGAGGGCCTTCCACCTGATTGCCGCCAACTTCCCGAGCCCACCCACCGATGCCGCGCATCAGGCCTGCGTCAACTTCGTCATGGCGCTGCCCTACTTGGTGCCGTGCCGGCACTGCGGCTGGGACCTCGGCGAGTTCATCAAGCGCAACATCCAGAATGACACCATTTCCGACCCTGGGTGCTTCGGCTTCTCGGAAGAAACGCAGGACTTCACAGAGCCTTGTGAATCGCCGGAGCGCGCATGCACGTCGACGTACAACTTGACATCGTTCTTCGCCCGCGCGCACAATAACGTCAACTCCCACACGAACCCGTGCCGCAAGCCGTACACCACGAAAGATGCGCTGCAGCAGTACCTCGCCGCACCGGAGGGCACCTGCCTCCACAACACAGTCTGGGGTTCCAAACAACTCTGCACCGGACCCTATTGCAACGCAAACCTCCCCCCGGGACCCGCGGGAGATGAGCGGTACGGCACGCCCTGCTACCTGCCGGGGAGCGGCGTCCCTAATGGCACCGGCTGCGACCCCAAACTCGACTCCTGCCCGGACCCCGCCGCGGACCCCGGCGCACTCTACTTTGGCGTGCAGGATTCCTGCGATGACATTACCGCCGAAGCATGCGGCACGGTGAAGTGCGATTAAGAAAGGTCTGCGTCGCCCTGCCCCGTACTAGAGCCTGGGCTCTCTGTCCGACGTCTGACGGCTTCTTACGCTCGGCCACAGTGGAGGGTGCCCGTGCCGCCTAGTTCCGCGGACGGGCCCCTCCACCCTTCATGTATGGATCATGTAGTCCCCACAGACGCTGTCGTCGTGGGATCACTTGTCATGTGAGAGAGGACCAGTGGGGCGCCTGTTTTGTCCTCTGAACTCGTCTGAGTCCGTCTTGTTTTGTATCCGCTTTCTCTCTGTGTCTGACTGACAGATAGGTTGATATAAGAAACAAGAAGCGCACATGGCAGTGAGCATCACACAGAATCGAATAGAGAAGTGAATAGAGCGACCACTCACACTCTCACACGTCGGCCACGACGCCGGGCGCGGCCACCATCCTTAGCCGTCCCGCGTCCCACGCAACCTGCACGCCGAGCAGCTTGGCCGGGTCGAACGGATTCTGCCGCCGCCAAAAGTCGACGTGGACGCCGAGGTCGCGCTGCGCCAGCTCGGAGAGATCGCGCACGAAGCCGACGCGCTCGGGCCGCCGCATCCCGATGTGCGCCATGAGTAGCTGCGAGAATGTGGAGAAGACGTTGAGCAGCAACGCCGACGCGCGGGCGCAGACCAGCTGGTCGACGACGGGAGCGAGTACGCTGCGGTGAAGCGGCTCGGGCGAGGCGGCGGCGAAGGCGTCGAGCAGCCCCGCCGAGTCGGCAAGGGTGGCGACCTGCGTACCGGCGGGCTGCGAGCCGCGCAGCGCCGCCGGCTCGTCGGAGCTGCCGTAGTAGGCGACTCTCTCGCCGCGCGCCGCGGCCGCCGCGCCGAGCGCCTGGCGGGGAGGGGCGGCGGCCGGTGGGGGGGGAGGGGAGGGACGGCGGCGCGAGGAGGTGTGCGACGGCGAGGGCGAGGCGCCTGCAGGTTGAGCCGCACCTCCTCGAGGAAGTGTCTAGGAAGTGTCTAGGAAGTGTCGAGGAAGGCGCCTGCAGGTTGAGCCGCACCTCCTCGTCCGACGGCAGGCAAGAGAGGCCCCTCTCGTAGTGCGCGAGCAGCCAGCCGCGCGCGTGCCCCGACCGCGCCTCCTCCTCGTACCGACGACACTCGTCCACAAAGTCGCCGCGCCGCAAGTGCACGCAAGCGAGCGCGCCGCCGCCGCCGCCGCCGCCACCGCCGCTGCCGCTACCGCCGCTGCCGCCACCGCTGCCGCCGCTATCGCTGCCGCCGCCGCTGCCACCGCCGCCGCGCCGCACGTCGGCGACGATGCGGTCGACCAACTGCGCGAGGGAGGGAAGCGGCGCGAGCAGCGCGGGCATCGCGCGCCGGTCAAGCCAGCGGAGGCCTTCCTCGCCGCCGACGCGCCAATCGGGCGGGCTCCTGCCGAGGGGCTTCGGGTCGAAGGCGCCGAAGAGGGTGGCGAGGGCGAGCACGCGGTGCCCGCCGCAGCCGCCTGACGGAAGGGGCGACGCCGGAAGTGAAGGCGCAGGCTCCCAGAGGCCAGGCAGCGGGGCGGGGAGGGGGCAGCACTGCCTAGCGCCGCCCGGAGGGTGGCTGGCATGAAGTTGTCGAGCGGGAGCTGGAGCGGCGGCGTGGCCGGCTCGCTGTGCCTGTGAACAGAGCAGCTGTGAACAGAGCAGCTGTGAATAGAGGTCGCTGTGCCTGCCGGGCATGAAGTTGTGCCTGCAGCCGGTCGGGCGGTGTCGCTTGGGCGGAGGCGGCGGGAGCGCGCTGGCGGCAGAGACGGGTGCGTGAGGGGTGTAGGCTGAGGGGTCCGGCTGCGGCGCGCCAGCGCGAAAGGCCGAGCGCGTCGAGGTAGGCGTACGACACGTTCGAGAAGCGCGTCCGCGCCGCCGGCAGCAGCAGCCGCGCCGGCGGCAGGTTTAGCCCGAGGAAGGATCGCATCTCGACCAGCCGGAGCGCGGGCCGGAGCTTGGCCGCGGCGGCGGCGACGTCGAAGAGCGAGCCGTGCGGCACGACCGAGACCTCCGCCGCGTGCGGCGGGCCCGCGACGAGGTGCGGCAGCACGAGGGTGCGGTTGAGGGCCGACGCCCAGCCGGCGGCGTTGCGCAGCGCGATGAGCTGGTTCGAGAGGCCAAACTGCGGCGAGTAGAGCAGGTACCGCTCGCCGTCGCCGCTGTACGTCCCGCTGCTGCCCGGCAGGGCGAAGCCGCCGCCCGCGTCGCCGGCCGCGCCACCCGCTGCTCGCGCCGCCGACGCCTGCTGGGCCGCCAGCCGGTCGATCTCGCACGCGGAGCCGGAGGACGTCCACGGCAGCGTCAGGCGGCTCCGCGTGGGCGCGTCGCCGCTCGCCTGCGCCGAGCCCAGTGCCGCCAGGGAGCCGTCCGCGTCGCGCGGCTCGGCGTCGTGCAGCGAGACGACCGCCGCCTCTGTGGCCAGCTCGGGCGGAGGCGCCGCCAGCCGCCACCAGAAGACGCCGAGCCCGCAGGCGTGGAGGGCGAGGATGGCGCACGACCAGCGGGCGGCGCAGCCCATACTGCGCTGCCGCTGCTTTGGCGGCCGGCGCATCGAGGTAGAAGCCCGAGGCAGTACACTTGGTGCGAGTCAGTGGCGGCAGCGCGGACGCGGAATTTCTTTTTCCACTTAGAGCTTGCACAATTTCTTCAAACTCTCGCCTCGCCGAGCTCCGCACCCTCGTCAGCACCCTCCTCCTCGCCGAGCTCTGCCCCCTCCTCCTCGCCGAGCTCCGCACCCTCGTCAGCACCCTCCTCTTCGCAGCTGAGGAGGATGGCAGGCTGGTGGGTGGGTGCAGTAGACGGCGACGAGGAGGGGGCGGAGGATGGTGCCGATGGGGGGTCAGCAGGATTTCTTGCTCGCGCTGGTGGCCCCAAAGGGCGTGCTCGCGCCCCAAAGACCATCATGCCTGCCGAGCAGGACCTGCTGCGACTATGCGGCGGCGCGCCGACGTCCTCGGACTCGCTCGTCACCGACAGCAGCGCCGTGCTCTCGGGCTGCAGCTCCCTCTCTGCCACGCCGACGACAGCGCGGCCCTCCCCCGCAGCGCGCGCGCCGCCGGCCGCCGCGGCGCCTGCGACGACGACGCTGTCTGTCGAGGGCATGATGTGCAGCCACTGCACGGGCAAGGTGGAGCAGGTCCTGTCAGCGGTCGCCGGCGTGAAGAACGTCGTCGTTGACCTGAAGGCCAACACCGCGGTCGTGACCGGGAGCGCGGACGAGGCTGCGCTGGTCGCGGCCGTCGAGGGCGCCGGCTTTCGCGCGCGCGTCGCGGGCGGCCCGCCGACGACGACGCTGTCTGTGGAGGGCATGATGTGCAGCCACTGCACGGGCAAGGTGGAGCAGGTCCTGTCAGCGGTCGCCGGCGTCGAGGGCGTCGTCGTCGACCTGAAGGGCAGCTGCGCGGTGGTGACGGGGAGCGCGGACGAGGCTGCGCTGGTCGAGGCGGTCGTCGACGCGGGCTTCAAGGCGGCGCTGGCGTCGGGCGCCGCCGACGAGGCGGGCGGCGCGAGAGGCGGTGCGCCGGAGGGGCGCGGCGGTGCGCTCGCTTTCGAGGCGCCGGCTTCCCTTGAGGCGGTGGCGGTCGAGATCAGCGCCTCTCCGCTGCCAGGGAGCCCGATCCCGCCAAAGGCGGGCAAGGACTCGAGCGCGGCGCTGCTGCTTCCCCGGTCCGCCCTCGGCACCTCCCCCGCGCGCTCCAAGCAGACCAAGAAGGCCGAGGAGAGCGGCGGGTCTGTGACGCTCGGCGCGGGAAGCGGCGCCTGCGCCTCGCGCGGGAGGGTGTGCTGACCGGTCCCCCGCGGGGTGTGCGCGTAGGCGTGGGCGGGATGACGTGCGACTCGTGCCGCACGGGCGTGGAGCGGTGCCTCGCCGCCCAGCCTAATTAAGTATTAATTAATTCGGCGGATAATTAATTAGGCGTGGAGCGGTGCCTCGCCGCCCAGCCTGGGGTGACTTCGGCGGCCGTGTCGCTGATGGGGCGGCAAGATCTAGCCGAGATTGCGCGAGATCTAGCCGAGAGTTGGGCGGCCGTGTCGCTGTTGGCGCGGCGCGCCCTCGCCTCCCGCCGACGCTGAAGACGTGACCGTGACTCCTGTGATGCCGAAGCATGCACTGGTGAGGTACGCATAGGCGCGCCCTCGTCTCCTTCGACCCGTCCCTCGTCTCGCCGGCAGAGCTCGCCGCGGCGCTCCTCTCCCTCGGCTGATTAACACTCATTCACACTCATTGATTGATTAGGCAAAGCTCGCCGAGGCAGTGCAGTCGCTCGGCTTCGACGCGACGGTGATCGACGACGGCGAGTCGCCCTTGTCCGCGGGCCCGCTCTCCTCGTCCGCCCTCTCGAGGGAGGCGCTCTCGTGGCGGCGGCAGTTCCTCGGCTCGCAACCCCTCGCGGCGCCCCGTCTCGCGTGGGGCTGGCCGGGAGCGCGACTCCCCTCCCCCCTCTCCTCCCCTCCCCCCCCCTCTCCCAGGCTCTCTCGTCTTCTCGGTCCCGGTCTTCGTCATCGCGATGGCTCTCCCCGTCGACACCTTTGGCGGCGGGGAGGCGCTGCCCGGTCTCCCGTGGCGCACCCTCCTCCTCTGGCTCCTCGTCACGCCCGTCCAGTTCGGATTCGGGTGCCATCCACACACACACACACAGCCAGCCTCGCGCCGGGCTCACGCCGCTAGAGCCTCCTCGCAGCCCGTCGCGACGTGGCCGGTGTAGGTGCCAGTTCTACCGGCGCGCCTTCCGCGCGCTGTCGCACGGCTCGCCAAACATGGACGCGCTCGTCTAATTAATGCATCAGTCACCTCCTGAAGTCATTATTAATTCATTAGGCTCGTCAAACATGGACGTGCTCGTCGCGCTCGGTTGTCCCGCCGCGCTGCACTCGCCCCTCCTCGGGACACGTCCACGACACGTCCCCGACGCGCGCCCCGCAGGCTCCTCCGCCGCGTACGGCTACTCCGTCGTCACCGTCGCCGTCGCCGTCTCGTATGGAGAGGAGGGCGGCGGCCAGGCTTGCTTCGAGACGGCGCCGCCGCCCCTCGCCGCCCCTCGCCGCCCCTCCCCTCCCCTCCCCTCCCCTCGCCTCCCCTCGCCTCCCCTCGCCTCCCCTCGCCTCCCCTCGCCTCCCCTCGCCTCCCCTCGCGCGTGTCGCCCGACCGCGCCTTGAGCTTGGCCTTGCTCGCCCGCAGGCGTCGATGCTCATCACCTTCATTCTGCTCGGAAAGTACCTCGAGGCGTCCGCCAAGCGGAAGACGTCCGAGGTAATTAATTCGTGTTAATTCGTGTTAATTAGCCCAGCCGTCCGAGGCCGCCTCTCCGAGCTCTCGCCTTCATTAGTGGCGGCCAGCTGGTGGTGGCTGGTGAGAGGAGCTCTCTCTCACCCACTAGGCCCTCTCCAAGCTAGTCTCGCTCGTGCCGCCGACCGCGCTGCTCTGCCCGCCCGGCTCGCTGCCCGGCGCCGGCGGCGACGACGGCGACGAGGCGGCGCGCAGCGTCCCCGTCGCAGACTTGCGCACGGGCGACGTGGTGCAGGTGCCGCCGGGCGCTCAGCTGCCGGTCGACGGCGAGGTGGTGCACGGCTCGTCCGAGGTGAACGAGCACATGGTGACGGGCGAGCCGGTGCCCGTCCCCAAGGCGGAGGGCGCGCAGGTGATCGGAGCCCCGCTCAATTGTTGGGGCCCCTTTTGGGGGGGGGGGGGCCCCTTGGGAAAAGAAACGGTGCCCAAGCCCCCCCCCCGGGGTAAGGATTCCGTTGCACCCCAGGAAGTTCCCCCCCCCCCCCCCTTTTCCCCCCCCTTTTTCCCCCCCCCCCCCCCCCCGCCCGCCCACACACCCACACCCACACGCAGGTGCTCGCCAAGATCATGAAGGTCGTGTCGGACGCGCAGATGCGGCGGCCGGACGTGCAGGCCTTCGCCGACCGCATCTCGTCCGTCTTCGTGCCTGCGGTGGTCGCGCTCGCCCTCCTCACGTGGGCGAGCTGGGCGGCCCTCCTCTCGCTCGAGCTGCTGCCCGACCTGTCGATGCACGGATGGCACCGCGCCTCGTCGCGCGCGAGGGACCTCTCCGAACCTTCTCGGAACCTTCTCGGAACCTCCCTATAGGCACCGCGCCTCGTCGCTCGCCTTCATGTTTGGCTGCGCCGTGCTCGTCATCGCCTGCCCGTGCGCGATGGGGCTCGCCACGCCCACCGCCGTGATGGTCGGCACCGGCGTCGGCGCCGAGCGAGGCATCCTCTTCAAGGGCGGCGACGTGCTCGAGGCGGCCTCGCGCGTCACCGCCGTCGTCTTTGACAAGACCGGCACGCTCACCTCGTGCAAGCTGCGCGTGGTCGACGCCGCCCCGTGGCTGCCCGGCCTGACGCGGGCGCAGCTCCTCGAGCTCGCCGGCTCCGCCGAGTCCGCCTCGGAGCACCCGATCGGCAAGGCCATCGCCGCGCACGCCCGCGCGCAGGGCCTCCGCGTGGCCGCGCCCGAGTGCTACCGCGCGTGCGCCGGCTTCGGGCTGACGTGCCGCGTCGGCGCGTCCGAGGTGCTGCTCGGCAACCGCGAGTGGCTCGGCCGGCACGGGGTGTCCCTCTCGGCCGCGCAGGAGGCGCAGGTCGCGCCGCTCGAGGCGGAGGGCAAGACGATCGTCCTCGCCGCGCGCGACGGCCAGCTCGCCGGCGCCGTCACGCTGGCCGACACCCTCAAGCCCGAGGCGGCGGCCGTGCTGAGCCAGCTGCGCGAGATGGGGGTGCAGCTGTGGATCTGCTCGGGCGACAACGAGCGCACCGTCCGCCACCTCGCGCAGCAGCTCGGCGTCGCCAACTTCACCGCGTGCGTCTCCCCCTCGGGCAAGGCGGAGAAGGTGGCCGCGCTGCAGGCGGTGGGCGAGGTGGTCGCCATGGTGGGGGACGGCATCAACGACGCGCCCGCGCTCGCGCAGGCCGACCTCGGCGTCGCCATCGGCGGCGGCACCGACGTCGCCATCGAGACGGCCGACGTCGTGCTTCTCAACTCGGACCTGGGCGGCGTCGCCGTCGCGCTGCACCTGGCGCGCGCCGTCATGCGGCGCATCCGGCTCAACTTTGTGTGGGCCTTTGGGTACAACATCGTCGGCCTCCCGCTCGCGGCGGGCCTCTTCTACCCCGCCTACCAGATCCACCTGCCGCCCATGTTTGCCGGCGCGGCGATGGCCCTCTCCTCCGTCTCGGTGGTGTGCTCCTCCCTGCTGCTCCGCTGCTACCGACCCCCCAAGCTGCCGCGGCACTGCGCCGCGCAGCTCGACGGGGCCGCGTCGACGCGCGCCTCGGTCGAGGTGTAGAGGCGAGCGAGCCGAGAGGACGCAGCACCAGCACCAGCAGGAGAGCTAGAGCTCTCAACTTCACCGGCCGCTCCCGTCGGCCACACGCAGGCCTCTTTTTTTTGGATATCGGGTTTGTACTAAAATGTGGTCGTGGTCGTCGTGCGCATGTGTGACAGGGCCAGTGAGCGAGGGCGTTGCGTACCTGTACCGGACCCTAAAAAGAAAGAAAACTTCGAATTTCTTTTCCCCGCACTGGGCACGGGACTCTCTCGGACTCGCGCAGGAGTCGCTTAGGCGGCGCTCCCGTGGTGTACCTGTGTTAGTGCCAGTGCGAGCCAGTCCCGTGCCCAGTGTAAAAAGAAAGAAAACGCACAACCCAAGGGAGGGATGAGAGGACGGCACGCCGCCACCACACAGGGATTTTAAGGAGAGGGGTGTGGTGCGCTAGCCGTCGCCCACCCTTGGGCGTCCGCCTCTTCCTATCTCTCTTCGCAGTCTCTCGCCGATTCTCGCTGCGACCTTCGTGCCACCTCGCGGTCGCCCCCTTCTCGTCGTTCTTTCCCTTGTCGCTTCTTCCTCTGTCGCGTCGCTCTCCTCTGCCTCGTTCTGCGACGCCGCCGCCGCATGCCGGTCCCTTGTTCTCGCCGCTCGGCGCAGCTCTGCCCTCCTTGCTGCATATCCTGGCCCCTCGAGTCTATCGAGCTCTCCTCGCGCAAGGACAAGTCTTCTGACGCCCACTGCGATCATTTGCCACCCAGTCATGTCGTTGCTCAGGTCCACTCTCTCTTCGAACACTTGTGCCTTCACGGAACACGGATGATGCTGGCGCTGGGGTCCCCTTCGGGTGCATCGTGACAGCTGACGACGGGATTTCCACTGGTTCATCCTCCTCTGAGTCGTCTTCCCCGGCTTCCTTCCGCTCGGCTCTACGCTCGGTACGTTCGGTGTGGCTCACCCTCCATGCCGTGAACAGGCGCTTTATCCACCCTATATTCTTCTCTCGTTCCTCTGCTCGTGCCTTGGTCGTGTCGTTGTTTCGCGCCCATGTCTGTATGGCAGTCGAGGCTGCCTTCCCCACTGCCTGTAGTTCACTCGTCACCTCTCCCGCGAGCTCCCCCCTCTTTCTTTCGGGTATGGAGTCCATGAGTGCGGGCAGCTTGCAGGCAATCACGGGCGCTATTTTGTCGTACTCCTCTTCGGCGAGCGCTCCGAATCTAGACCCCATTGCCTTTAAAGAGGCTGCCCTCGCGCGTCTCAGGACTGTGGCGGTGTCTTTTGAGTCCGGCGCCTCCCGTTCAACTCTTGCACGTCGCCCTCGCCGTGTGTTTGTCGAGCTTCCTCATGAAGTGACGCGCCTCTTCCTTATTTCCAGCGCAGCTGGCGCTCAGTATGTGATCTGTGATCTGTGAGGGTCCGCCCGCAGGCGCATTTTGTATACCGAGGCGGTGCCCGGTGCCGAACCTGTCGGACCTTAACGAGACAGCATTGTAGATCCCTGGGCGAGGGTGGTGTGGAGAGGGCGTTCCGGCGGCGGAGCACCCACCTCCTCCCGGCGTGCCGGTAGGCAGGATGTCATCCCCCGTGATCCAGAGACTGCCCATGGGGCTGGACTGTCAGCGCTAAACCGTAACCCGCCGGGGGGCGAGCCGGATCCACGCGTTCCCAGACAGCCCCGTTGGAGGTAGGCCGCTCGTCTAGCCAATCAGCCTTTTAAGCGAGCGGCCTGGCCGTTGGAATGGCCGAGAGTGTCGGCCGGCCGTTCGGTCTCTTCCCCGGGGGGGGCCTCAATGACCTAGTTGCCCGGCCGAGAAGGGGAGGACGACTGTCCCTGACGGCGAACCTCAGTTACGAGCCGCCCTCCCCTCGAGACGCGAGGCCAGTGCACTTGGGGCCGAGCCCCAGCGTACACCGTCCCACACGCGCCTCACGCGGCCTCTGGCACTGGCTGGAGCGGGATCGCAAGCGAGTCCCCCAGGCCGGCGCGCGTCTTCCGAGAGAGGAGCCGGAGCGAGGGACCTCCTTAGTAAGCCGGCATGCAGGCGCATGCACGGCCGTTCAGAAACTTTCCCAGCCGTTGGAATGGCTGCGCTCCAGCCCCTCACGCCGGGTGGACAAGCGGGGGGGAGGTCAATGACCTGCCTAGTAAGCCGACATGCCAGGCATGCCGACCTTTCGGAGCCCCCCCTCGTAGACGTGTGCCGCTGGGATCATTCCTCCCGAGGGCGACGGTCCCCCGGTAGTAGACGTTGGCGCCGAAGAGGGAGGAGTCGCCGAAGGACGGGTAGTCGTCGGTCATGCGGGGGGAGGAGGAGTCGGCGAGCAGCAGGGAGGAGAAATGCCTGAGAGGGTGGGGAGGGAGGCGTGAGGCGCAAGGTGAGGGGGCGCGGGGCGCGGGGCATGCGTATGACGCGCGGCGTGAGGCGCAGGGCGTTGGGCGGGAGGGCGCTCAGTATGTGCGCCAACGACGCCTGTGGTGGCTCACTGTCTTCTTGTTTCCAGTCGTCCCAGTCTCTCAGTTCTCCGAGTGTAAGAAAGAAAGAAAGAAACCAGACACGCCAAACGAGGGATGGGACGAGGACAGGGTCCCCACCTGCACGAGCAGGATTTTGGAAGGACGATCAGGGGGACAGGTGGGGCTCTCCTGCTCCTGACAAGGGACACGACGGGCTCGCAGCGCGGTGCGCGGTGGACTCCCACATCCACTGGCGGTCTCCGAGTGTTGTGCGAGGGCGCTTCGTTGCAAAATTCTTTTCCCCGGTCCTCCCGGTCGCAATGCTCGGGGCTGGCCGGAGCCGGTGGCTGCGCCGGTCCCTCTCCGTACGTGCCGTGGCCGAGGACGTGTGGAGCGGGACGCAGTGCGCCTCCAAGAACCGCGCCAAGACGCTGCGCACCAAGCAGAAGGGCATGGACATCCTCAATGACCCGCTGTGGAACAAGGGCATGGCCTTCTCCGTCTCGGAGCGCGACCGGCTGCACCTGCGTGGCTTGCTGCCGCCGCGGGTCAAGTCCATCGAGGCGCAGCAGGAGCGCATCATGCGGCTGCTGCGGGCCGAGCCGGACCCGATCAAGAAGAACCTGCAGCTGCAGGACCTGCACTCGCGCAACGAGACGCTCTACCACCGCATCCTGGTGGAGCACACCGAGGAGCTGGCGCCGCTCATCTACACGCCGACGGTCGGCCACGTCTGCCAGCAGTTTGGCGCGCAGTTCTCGCGCTCGAGAGGCATGTACTTTTCGAGCGACGACCGCGGCGAGCCGCCTGCGCCCGCCATGCCCGCCACGGTCTCGAGGGCGGGCCGCGAGACGTCGAGTTGCGGTGGCGTAGGTGAGTTCAGCACGATGGTCTTCAACTGGCCGCACGACGACGTGCACGTGATCTGCGTGACGGACGGCTCGCGCATCCTCGGGCTCGCCTCGGCCTCGAGGAGGCTGGCCTCCTCCTCCTCCCTCGCGCTACACCCTCGCGTCGCTCTCTAGGCTGGGCGACCTGGGCGCGCACGGTATGGGCATCCCGATCGGCAAGCTCGCGCTCTACGCGGCGGCGGGCGGCATCGCGCCGCACCGCGTGATGCCAGTCGTGCTCGACGTGGGTACAAACAACCAGGCGCCGCCGGACAGCGCAGCCGCAACACCCCACCCCAACCCTACACCCCACCCCAACCCCACAAACCCTCTACCCCAACTCCGACCCCAACCCCAGGCGCTGCTGGACGACCCGGACTACGTCGGCGTGAGGGAGCGGCGGCTCGAGGGGGCGGAGTACTACGACATGGTCGACGAGTTCATGGAGGCGGTCTTCGAGCGCTGGCCGCAGGTCGTCGTCCAGTTCTAACCCTAACCCTAACCCTAACCCTAACCCTAACCCTAGCTGGCCGCAGGTCGTCGTCCAGTTCGAGGACTTCGAGACGTCGAAGGCGATCCCGCTGCTTGCAAAGTACCGGCACAGGTACCGCTGCTTCAACGACGACATCCAGGGCACCGGCTGCGTCACCCTCGCCGGCGTCATCGCCGCCGCGCGCAACGCGGGCAAGGCGCTGACCGACATGTCCTTCCTCTGCGCCGGCGCGGGCTCGGCCGGCCTCGGCGTCTGCGCGCAGATCGTCGACGGGATGGTGGAGGCGGGGATGAGCCGCGAGGAGGCGATGCGCCGCTTCGTCATCTGCACCTCGCAGGGCGCCATCGGCCGCGCCGACGGAGCGCACGGCGACCCGAACCACGCCCGCGGGCTGAACGTGGAGCGCGCGCCGTGGCAGAACGACGCCGTCTCGGACGGCACGCCGATGAGCGAGGTGGTGAGCGAGTTCAAGCCGACCTGCCTGCTCGGGCTCGCGGCGCAGCCCGCGGGCCTCTTCACCGAGGGGATGGTGCGCGAGATGGCCTCCTACTGCGACTCGCCCGTCGTGATGCCGATGTCCAACCCGACGGCAAAGTCAGAGTGCACGCCGCAGCAGGCGTACGAGTGGTCGGACGGCCGCGCCATCGTCGCCACCGGCTCCCCCTTCGCGCCCGTGTCGCTGCCCGACGGGCGCACCTTCATCCCCTCCCAGTGCAACAACATGTACATCTTCCCCGGCGTCGGCCTCGCCGCCTCGGTCGCGGGAGTGCAGCAGATCACCGACGGGATGCTCTACGCCGCGGCCGTCGCGTGCGTCGACGCGATGACGCCGGAGGAGGTTGCCGACGGGCGCACCTTCCCCGACATCTCGCGCATCCGGCAGGTGGATCGCACGGACCCTTCCTAGAGCCTTCCTGGAGCCCTCCCCGACCTCTAGCGCACACGGCAGGTGAGCCACACGGTGAGAGTAAGGCAGGTGAGCCACATGATGTTGCACACGGCAGGTGAGCCACACGATGAGAGTAAGGCAGGTGAGCCACATGATGTTGCACACGGCAGGTGAGCCACACGGTCGCGTGTAACGTCATCGAGAAGGCGATGGCGGAGGGGGTCGGCACCAAGCTCACCAAGAAGCAGCTGCCCGACCGCGCCGCGCTCGAGAGCTTCGTGCGGCGCAAGATGTACTACCCCGGCTACGTCCCGCTGGTGGACCCGTCGCAGGTGTCCGTGACGCGCCGCTGAGGTGTGTGTGTGTGGGGGGGGCATGTGCATGTAGTTCCCGACGGCGGGAACGGCAGCAGCCGCGCGGATCGGACCACGCCGCCACCAGAGCGCTCCGCCACAGCGGAAAGGCGCAGGGCGGCACGCGAGCATCGGTGGTACACGCTACGGTTCCATGTGGCACATGTCCCGCTCGGTAGAGCCCAGGTAGAGCCATCCGGATCGTTTGATGCCCATCGTTGGGGCCCATGCGTGTTTACAGTGTGCGTGTGCTGCAGCCTCTCCGACTCCGTCGCTCATCACGCACACGCATCACGAACTTCGAACACGGTTCACAACGATTCAACGTGCTGGTTTTCCCTTTGTTCTGGGTTTCGGTTTGAAGAAGTTTAAATTTTTTAAACTCTGAAGAGACGAAACGTTGCCGGTCTTGACCACGTGTACCGTCGGACGACGAGATTCAGCTGGCGACGAGCAAGCTGCACGCTACTGCTCCGGGCCCATCAGGCCTGCATGCACGGCTGTGGCAGGCTCTCGTGTCGACGAGCGACGGATTTGGCTTCGTGAGACATCTCGTGCAACACTTCTGGGAGACCGAAGAGTTGCCCGAGGGGTGGGAGACGGGGCTGCTCAGTATCCTGCCCAAGAAGGGTGACCTGAGCCTCCCTGGAAACTACCGTGGGATCATGATGCTCGAGACGGCGTACAAGATCGCTGGCAACATCATCCTCGTTCGGCTCAAACCGATCAAGGAGGGTGGAACGCTGAATCACGAGAACCAAAACGGCTTCCGGCCGAACCGTGGCTGCTTCGACGCGATATTCTCGATCAAAACGCTGATCAAGAAGCGTCGAGAGCATGGTCTCGAGACCTGGCTGTTGCTAATCGACCTGGTCAAGGCGTTTGACCGTGTACCGCGCGAGCTGCTTTGGCGCGTGATGCTGAAGCAGGGCGTGCCTCCCAAGATCGTCTCGCTGCTGAAGGCGCTGCATGCGACGGTCAAGGTCCAGTTCGAGGTGGGTGGCGTGAAGAAGGTGATCGACTCGATTATCGGCGTCAAGCAGGGCGACCTACTCGGCCCCGAGTTGTTCATCTTTTTCATGGCGGCGGTCATGGAGACGTGGCGCCTCCACCACGACTTCGAGCTGTGCGTCGTCCGCTCGAAGAACGATTTTGTCCTCACCGGTCGGCGCCCGTCTACCGTCGGCGATGTTGAGTTCTCCCTCAGAGACTCCATGTACGCCGACGACGCGGGCCTCGCCTTCTGCTCTCGGCGCGGCGTCGAGGTCGAGACGCCCAAGGTGGTCGCGCACTTCGCTCGCTGGGGCATGGAGATCCACGTCGGCAAGGACGGCTCCAACGGCGAGCCTCGCAAGGACTCGAAGTCGGAGGTGCTCTTCTGCGCGGCGGCGCCGACCTCGTACAACAACCCCGCCACCTACGACGGCGCCGACCTGTCCGACATCAAGCTGCCCGGCGGCTGCTTCATGCCGGTCGTGGACCGCTTCAAATATCTTGGGAGCTACCTCAACCGCGACTGCAGCGACGGGCTCGACGTCGACAGCCGGATCGAGTCGGCAGGCCGAGCTTTTGGCGCTCTTCGGAAGTGCCTTTTCAGCTCGAGGGACGTCTCGTTTGCCGCCAAGCGCGCGGTCTACACCTCGCTCATCCTCTCCATCCTGCTCTACGGGTGCGAGTGCTGGGCGCTCACCGAGCGCCTCCTCCACCGTCTCCGCGTCTTCCACGCACAGTGCGTGCGTGCGATGTGTCGTGTCACTCGCAAGCACGTGTGGGAGCACCACATCACGACTGGCGAACTCTGCGCCAGGCTAGGTCTCGACTTCATCGACTACTACATCGACCGACGCCGGCTGGGCTGGCTCGGGCATGTCAGCAGGATGGATTTCAATCGCCTACCTCGTCGCATGCTCTCATCGTGGGTGCCTCACGGCCGGCCGATCGGGTGCCCCAACATGACGTTTGGGCGCAGCATCCGCACCGCGCTCGACAAGTTCCACATCGACCGCTCGAGGTGGCCCGAGCTCGCCGCCGATCGCTCGGCCTGGCGCCAGGCGCTGGAGAACAGGCGCCCGCCCGACGCCTTCTTTGCCATGCCAGCGAGGGCTAGGCCGCCCTCCCCGCGCATTGCGCGCACTAAACCAGTGCGCTCATGCTTGGCGAGAACCAATGCAGCGATGGACAGCTCGCTACAGGCGCTCGCGGGGTCGTGAGTGGGGGTCCCCACCGCTGCCCCTCTGACTAAACTTTTGTCTGTGGTGATGCCTTTCCCTGAGAACGCACACAACGCCTCGTGTGTAATGCCCTGTGTTTCCGCGAGTGCGTGTGCCCCGTCGTCCATGCTAGGACGTGTGTAACACTGACTGACTGAAGAGACGAAATCAAAAGAAAGTTGCCATCACACGGGTCGCGACGGCGTGGCGACTGTGTGGTTCTGCGCTTCGCACCGCGACGATCGCACATGCTCCCAATCATTGCCATCGCCTTTAGTTGGACCGGCGACACCTGGGCCGAGCCGCAGGGCCTGCCAGCTGGGCACAACGGCGGCGTCAAGGAGCGGCTCACGACGCCGGCCGGTGGCAGGAGGCCGCACATCCTGATGATTCTCTTTGACGACTACGGGTGGGCCGACGCTGGCTGGCACCGCAACTACACCGCGCCAGGCGGCGAGTTCCTGCCAGCCACGCCCGAGGTGGCTACGCCTCACCTCGACGCGCTCGTGCGAGAGGGCATAGAGCTCGATCGGCACTATGTGTACAAGTACTGCTCGCCCTCCCGTTCGGCGCTGCAGAGCGGACGCAACCCCTACCACGTCAACCCGCTCAACGCTGAGCCTACCATCTCCAACCCCGACGACCCCGTCTCGGGCTTCCAGGGCATTCCGCGCAACATGACGGGCTTAGCCACGAAGCTGGCCGCCGCAGGCTACCGCACGGCAGGGTTCGGCAAGTGGGACGCCGGCATGGCGACGCCCGACCACACGCCGCACGGGCGCGGCTACCAGACGGCGCTCAACTATTTTCACCACTGCAACGACTACTGGAGCTTCACCGACGGCGGCTGCCCGGTGCCTTACAGCGGCGGCGATAAGGTTCCGATCGTCGACCTGTGGAAGGCGGGCGGCGGCGCGGGCGAGGGGCGGCTCGGCGAGGGGCGGCTCGGGGAGGGGCCCGCGTGGGGCGCAAACAACACGTGCGTCCGCGACTGCGGCTGCGGCTGCTCCGTCGAGGTAGGTCCGCCCGCAGAGTGCGCCGCCGGCCCGCTGGGCGACCCGTGGTGGGGCGGGTATGAGGACTCGCTCTTCGAGAAGCACGCGCTGGCGCTCGTCGAGGGGCACGACGCGGCGGTGCCGCTCTTCCTCTTCTTTGCGCCGCACATCGTCCACACGCCGCTGCAGGTGCCGCAGGAGTACGCCGACCGCTTCGCCTTCATCGCGCCGACCGACAAGCCGCGGCACCAGCGGCAGGTCTACCACGCGATGGTCAGCTTCGCGGACGACATCGTCGGCAACCTCACGGCCGCCTTCAAGCGCAAGGGCATGTGGGACGACACGCTCGTCGTCTTCTCGACCGACAACGGCGGCCCAGTGTACGGCAACGGCACCGCCGGCGCCAACAATTTTCCCCTGCGCGGTGGCAAGATGAACAACTGGGAGGGCGGCATCCGCGGCAACGCCTTCGTCTCGGGCGGCTTCCTGCCGCCGTCGCGGCGAGGCATCAAGTGGGACGGCCTCGCTGCGCTGTGGGACTGGTACGCAACCTTCTCCGCCCTCGCGGGCGTGGACGCCACGGACCACCGCGCCGCCAAGGCCTCGCTGCCGCCGATCGACTCGCACGACCTGAGCGCATTCCTGCTCGGCAAGACGCTCGCCTCCCCGCGGGCGGAGCTCCCCATCGGCACCGAGCCTCGCCTGTCCAACCTCTCCAGCGCGCCGCTGTGCGCCTCGTACAACCGCGCCACGCCCTACTACGACGAGCCGAGCGTGGTCGGCGACGAGCCGAAGCCGCTGCCCGACTCGCCGCCGCCCGGCTCGCGCTGCACCACCGTCTCGGCGCTCATCGTCGACGAGGGCAAGGGCGGCCTGTGGAAGCTGCTCACCGGCACGGTCGAGCAGGCCATGTACACGGGCCCGGCCTACCCAAACTCCACCACGGACGAGGTCTCGAGCCACTTCGTGAGCCACTGCGGGGACGGCTGCCTCTTCGAGCTCCGCGCCGACCCGCTCGAGACCAGCGACCTGGCGAGCCGCCACCCGCAGAGGCTCGCGCGCCTCCGCGCGAAGCTGGAGGCGTACGAGGCGACCGCCTTCAACCCCGACCGCGGGGGCAACACCGCCGCCGCATGCGAGCACGCGCAGGGGGTGTACCGAGGCTTCTGGGGCCCGTTCATGCGCTGATCCAGGACAGCTCTCCGCGGCATGTGAGCTCCGGCCGGTCCCATGTCGCATGTGCGTGTCCACAGTGTTTGATTTTTATCTCGAGGCCGCCAAGCCCACATGCATTCGGTTTGGCAGCCCGGTCGTCACGAAGTGACGAAAAAGCAGGCGTGTGCCGTAAAGCTAAAGGCTAAAGCGTATGTCTGTCTGTGTGAGCGCGAGAGCGTGTGTGTGCGCCAGTGTATGGCGGGTTGGGTCTCTCTCTCTCTCTCTCTCGACTCTGCTCTTACGGCTTTATATAGACCTAGACGCGCAAGAGACTCCAAGCAACATTCACGAGCACCAGCCCGGCACCGCCGCGCCTGGGCTGAGCGTGCAAAGAAAGGGCGAGTAGTGCTCGTCAAGCACGCCGTTTAGCGGCACCATCAGGTACGTTCGCCGCGCGTCGCCGCACGCGGTCGCGCGTCGGCTCCGACCGGGAGAGGAGCAAGCGCTCACGTTGGACTGCGCCCAATACGAGAGCGGAGGGTACGTGGCCATCGACCTCGAGACACGCAGCACGGCGGCCTCGGGCGGGACCGCCGCCGCCGAGCTGCCTCGCAACTGCCGGAGGAGCAGCGGCGGGCCGCGCGGTTCCGGGGCGCTCTGCTTTGAGCCGGGCGGCGGGGGCGGAGGGGGAGGGGGAAGCGGCCCGATAACCACCCAGAAGCCGGGGCTGTCGGCCGACTCGAGCGCAAAACTGCCTGCGGCGAGCCCGTCGACCCGCGCCTCCTCCCCTGAGGGTGCGGGCGGGTCGGCGCCGCACGGGCAGTCGACCGACGCCACCGGCCGCAGCCACCAACGCTGGAGCGGCCCGCCGCTTGCGCCGCCGAGCGCCTCGGCAGCGGGGAGGAGCTCGACCACCGCGGTCCCCTGCGGCGCTGGGATGCGGCTGCTGAGCAGCACGCCCGGCCGCCCAAACGGCTCGAGGACGGTGGGCTCGCGCGCGCTGTACGTGCGCGCAGCCAGAGGCCCGGCGGGCGACGCGCCGAGTCGCCAGCTGGCCGCGTTCGCAGCGTCGGAGCCGCCGCGCCGCCCGCGCCGCGTCGGAAGCGGCGGCGGCTCTCGCGCAAGCTCGGCGGTCTCGGCCTTGCCGCCGCGGTCGGCTGCGTGCGAGACGACGAGCCGAGGCGTGTCGCCGCGGGCGCGGCCCTCCTGGCCAGCCTTGGCGTGCCGGCAAGCGCAGGCGGGCCGCAAGGAGACGAGGCTCTCGCGCGCGGCGGGAGGCACCGGCACCGCCCACGCCGAGGGAGGCCCGGCTCCGACGTAGAGCCTCCGGTCGCCGTCGGTGAGGGCGGCGAGCAAGACGGGGCCGTGGAAGAGCCCGCGCAGCGGCGAGCCTGGCCGCACCGGCCGCTGCGCGAGTCGCGGCCGCAGCCGCAGCGAGAGCGAGTCGCCGAGGCCGAGGGCGACGCGAAGGAAACTGCCCGCCGCGGGCGGCGGCAGAGGCGCTGCCGCGCCGCCGACGCTCGCGACCGCCGCCTCTGCAGCCTGCGCCCAGCCAGGGATGCGCACGTGGAGCTCGACGCGGCTCGCGGCGTCACCTCTCCTCTCGCCGAGCCGCTGCACCGACACGGTTGCGACGAGCGGCTGGGCCGGCGAGGCGGCGGGCAGCTCGCCGGGCACGTCTGCCTGCAGCCGCAGCTCCACCCCCGCCTCCTCCCACGCCACCGCCGAGGGCACGAGCTGCAGCAAGTACAGCGACACCGTGGCGGCGGCGGCGGCGGCGGGCGGCGGCGGCGGAGGAGGAGGGGACGCCCACCAGACGGCGTGGTGCAGCCGGCCAAACGCCTCCGCCGCGGAGCCCATGCAGCACCAGAAGTGGTGCTCCGTGTTGGACCAGCCCTTGGCGCCGCCTCGCTTGGAGACGCCCCCACCGAGCGGCATCATGTAGAGGACCGCTCCGGGCTGCGAGCCTCGCTGCGTGCCGAGCACGCCGTTGTGGAGCGCCGTCTCGTACCAGTCGCAAAGCGCCGCGAGGGAGCGCAGCGCCGTGGCGGCGACTGGCACGCCGCGCGACGCCGCCGCGTGCCAGCGCATCATCTTTGTGGAGAGGAGCATCGCGTTGTGCGTGACGCAGCTCTCCGCGTGGTCGTGCGCCTGCCAGTTCCGCGGCCCGCGCAGCCGGAGACTGCTCTCCACCATGCTCTCGCTCGCCCCGCCCGGCGAGCGCCACTCCTCCTGGAAGCTCGAGCCGCCCGTGAGGTAGGCGTACGCGCGCTGCAGCTGACGCCAGAAGCCGACGGCGGCGTCGCGGGCGCGCACCTCGCCTGTTGCGAGGTACAGCTCGGCGGCGCCGAGCACGTAGGCCAGCTGCGCGTTCGCGTGCATCCCTTCGAAGGCGCTGTCGGCAACCGCAGCCTCGGCCTCGCTCTGAGGCTCGTCGAGCGCGGGCACGACCGCCTCGCCGCCGCCGCCGCCGCCGCCGCCGCCGCCCGTCCCGTGCAGAGTCGCCGCCAGCGCGAGCGGTCCGGTGAAGCAGCGTCGGTCAAATAGAGCGGCGGCCGTCAGCCAGGAGGCGTTTCGCGTCGCGCGGGCGAGCGCCGCGTACAGCTCCGACAGCGCGCCAACCTCGTAGTTGAGGCCCTCGGCCCAGTGCGCCTCGCCGTGCGCGGCGCGCGAGGCGACGGCGCGCGCGAAGACGTACTCCGCCATGCCGAGGGCGAGGGGCAGCGCGCCCGCCGTGCCGAGCGCCTCGTGCTGTGTGAGCAGGCCGGTGAGCACCTGCGCAAGCGAGGAGCAGGCAGGTGAGCACCAGCGCAGAGTAGTGCCGCGGACTGTCATCGAAGTGTCGTCGAGAGGTGGACGGTGCCGCCGTGAGCAGGTCGGGGAGCACCTTTTGTGTCGCGTAGTGCGGCACCCAGATGTTGCACCGGCCGCCGGACGCGCAGCCGAGCCCTTCGCTCTTCTCGAACTCGAGCTCCGGAAAGGCGGCGAGGTAGCCGCGCCGGCCCGCCGCGCCGTGCGCCTCTGCGCAAGCGCGCAGCACCGCGATGGCCGCGCGCGACGCCTCGGCCAGCCGCTCGCCGAGCTCGCTGCCAGCGCCTCCGGCGCCGCCGCCCGCCGCGGCGAGCGCCGCGCCCGCGAGCCTATACTCAGCCGATCGATCCTGTGCGCCCTCAGCCGTCAGCGTCACGCGCGTATGAATGTGTCGAGCGAGGCCAGTGCCCGACGAAGTGACCCCGGATCCCGGCGTGAGGGTGCTCCCAGCCTGCATAAGGCCGCGCGCCGCGCGGCTGCGCAATACCGGCGGTGGCGCGAAACGACCAGAGGAGGCGGTCCACCGGCAGCGACATGATAAACTCGGCGTTGGTGTGCGCGGCGTCTGCGAAGGGGCCTCCAGGTAGCAGCCGGAGCGACGCCGGCGAGAAGGGGCGGAGCCTCGGTCGTCGGGCCGGCGGGCTGCCGTCAAGCACGCCCGGCTGCAGCAGCGGCAGCGCTCGAAGCGGCTTGGTCGGCGCACCGCGGCCGCCGGGGTGTTGACGCCAGCGCAGCGGGCCGGCGTATCGGGAGCACGTGATTTCGACGGCCGTTGGCGGTGGCGGCGGTGGCGGCAAAGGCGGCGAGGGCGGCGGCGGCAGAGACTGAAGGTGCCTCAGCGCTGCGGAGGTGCTGGGCGTCGTGAAGAGGCGGAGGAGGAGGAGGAGGAGGATTAGGAACGAGACGTAGGCAGCGAACCGCGAAGGCAGTGCCATCGCACAGCGGCACGACCGTCAAACCTCGCCCCGTGGTCAGACTTGTGCGCCTGTCCGCAGAGCTCGGGCTCCGCCGGTCGGTCAGTAAGTCTACAATCGCACACCCCATCAGTCAAAAGAATTTAGATCGCGGCCTCTCTCACAGCACACTGGGACGACAAGGGCGCGGACTGGCGCGGACTGGTGGCACACACAGGCTCACCACCGGAGCCGCCTAAGCGACTCCGTTAAGAACGGCAATGCACTCCGCACCATGCACAATGCCGCTCTCCCCGCACGCTAGCTCGTTCACCGTCTGCCACGCCACAGCGGTGTGGAGGACGACCGACAAACGCTGCATTTGCAGGCCGTGCCAATTCTTTGTTGTCCATGTGACCTCGTCCAGGTGCTGAGCATGCGAAAGTTTGTTGCTCAGCTGGTTCGCCGCCTCCCTCAGGGTGAGCTGCGAGAACCTCCTTTCCAAAGCCTCCGAAGCCCTCGAAGTCGAACAAGCGCAGATCGCAATCCTGCTCCCGCGCAAAGCAGTCAAATAAGAAGTGGCCGCCAAGAGCTGGGAATAGGACCGCCGCAAGCGGCGTGGCGTGGGGGGCGGTTGAGCATCCCTCCGGGGGCCCCTCTTGTTTGACGCTATATAAAAAGAGCTAATAGGAATTGACAATTGTGCTTTAACTTTCGCGGAGACAGCATCTTGATCCTGGATACTGCAACAACCGGCGGACCAGTCCGGAGATGTAATAGTGAAAGTGAAACGAGCCGGAACAACGCGGAGAAAGATTGAGGGCGGCAGCCGGCACATGCAGGGCCCTGACTCAAAATTGAGTCCATTTGAGTCTCGCCTGCGCCTCAGCTCCTCCTCCCTAGCCGCGGCTAGCTGGCCATCCCGCGCCTGCGCGCCACCGCCTCCTGCAGCCTCTCAAAGACAGCGAAGTTGACCGCGTTGATGACGAAGGCGCGAAGCAGCGTCGGCCCCATCCCGCGGTAGAGCCAGGCCGGCCCAAACTCGGCGGTCAAGCCGCGCGCAACCTCGGCGACGGAGCCGGCGCCGCGGCCAGCCAGCGGGCCGCACCCGGGCGGCGCGCAGCTCGCCTGCTGCCGCGCCTTGACCACGTCCAGCGGGTAGGTCGCCGTGTACGCCACCACGCCCGCAAAGCCTCCCGAGAGAAGCGGCGCCGCGGACCCGCCTCTGCCGAGCCGCTCGCGCAGGCGCGGCAGCAGGGCGTGGTACGCGCCAAAGTAGATGGCCGCCGAGGGCGCCTGTCGCATCGCCGTCGCCGTGCCGCCCGCGAGCAGCCCTCCCACCAGCCCGTGCGAGCGCAGCAGCCGAGCCGCGCACTCGAGCACCGGCTCGGACGACGAGGTGCCCGCCCGCGAGTTGATCTGCTGCTGCACCTTGATGCGGTCGGCGGGGACGATGACCAGGCATTGCGCGAGCCCCGCGCAGACGCCGCCGGCGCAGGCCGCCGTGAGGCGCGCCGTCTCGGGCGCAGTGCCGGGTCGCCACTCGAGGAGCCGTGATTGGCAACGGCGCGCGACCTCAGCCTGGACCGCAAAGCCGATGGCGTTGCGCGGCCCGGTGGCCAGCAGCGGCGGCGCCGTCCCGCGCAGGAAGCCAGCCGCGCCTTCCGCCGCCCAGAGGCTTCGCGCCACGGCGACAGGCGAGGCAGAGGCGGTGCCGGTGCCGCTGGCGCCAGCCTGGATCCGGACGCGGACGGTGTCGATCGGCTGGCCTGCGAGCGAGGCAGTGCAACCCGACAGGAAGCCGCAGGCAAAGTCGGTGCGGGCGGAAATGGTGTGAGCGTGGTGTGAGCGTGGCAAGGCCCGCCTCTGAAAAAGAATTTTTGTCCGCATTGCTTAGGTGTATTGTTGGCAAACGTGCTGGCTAGCACCACACTCCTCTCCTTAAAATCCCTGTGTGGTGGCGGCGTGCCGTCCTCCCATCCCTCCCCTGGCTGGATGTTTTCTTTCTTTCTTTCTGACTGCACTCCAAGATCTAGAATCAGCACACGCGCCTCAGCTCGCATACACTCATACAATGAACTGACATCTCCCATGAGTGCGAGTTAGGGCTAGCAGTAGGCCGCTAGCCTGTGAGGAGGGCGTCCATCGACACCTCACTAGACCCACACACGGTCTCGTCCGTGCCTCGCCGGCCGGCGAGATTGCTAGAGGCGGAGCGGTCTGCTCTAGCCTAGCACGTTACTTACTGTCGTCTGTTGTTTGTTGTGCCCTTGTTTGTTCTCTTGGCACCTTGGAGTGCTGGGGGGGGCGACAGGGAGGATGTGGCCTTGAGTTATGTGTACGCCAACTCAGGGTGTGTGGCAGCCAGCTGGCTGTGTGTCTTGTGAGCCTGTTTGTGTCTGTGTGTCGCTCGTGCGTGTCGTCATCATCTGTCCAGCGTCCACCCATACCGCGTTGGTGGGTACCCTGGTGTCCAGTCCGAGCCTGGCTGTTCTTCACCTTTCTCTACCTACCTACCTCCAAGTGCTCCAAGTGCGACGGTGTATCATACACTTTATGCCACCGTTGCATATCCGGATATGCAACGGCGGCATAAAGTGAATGATACACCGTCGCAAAACTGCATTCCTGGGTCGTGCTTCCAGGTAGCAGGTTGCTAAAAACGTAACCGCTCTTCGAAATTTGTTTCTCTCCCCACCTGCTCACCACCTCCGTCTCCTCACTCACCGCCATCCTCCGAGCCCGCGCACGAGAGGTGGTCCGCCTCGGACCACGCGGAGCTGCTCGCGTCGGACCATCCGACGAGGTCGACGAGGTCCCATCCAGAGGTGGACACGCTCGTCCGCTCGTCTGCCGCCGATGCCGCTGCCTCAATAAAGTCGCGCAGGGTGGGCATCGGCCTCGCCGCCTGCCCCTCCACGTCGGCCTGCTCGTGCTGCCACATGGCCACCGCCTGCTCCTCGTCCTCCTCGTCCTCGAGGCAAAGGTCGTGGATGGGGTAGAGGTGACGGAGCCGGCGCGCGCCCATCATGGAGACGGGCATGTCGCAGCTCCAGCCGCGGTCACCGCCACGGTAGGTGTAGCGCTCGCGGTGCGTGTAGCGCGTGTTGAGGCCCTCGGAGGCGGAGCAGAGAGTGTAGGTGATGGGGTCCGGCGCCTCCTTGGCTCCACTGGCCGCGCCGCAGACCGCCGCCGCCGCCGCCACCTGGCCGTAGACGCCGACCCGCAGCGCGCCCTCGCCCACGACGTCCAGGGGGACGATGCGCAGGTAGCGGGCTCGAAGGCCGCCGAGGCTGTGGGCAACCTCGCTCGTCGCATCGGCGTTCCCTTTGAAGCTGCCGAGCACGAGCCAGCGCCTCCCGCCGTCGCAGCGGAAGTGCACCTCGAAGCGCGACACCCACTGCACGAAGCGCTCGGCGGGCAGGAAGGGCCGGCCCGTGCGGCGGCAGCGCTCCTGGTCGCCCTTCAGGTTGAGCACCATCCAGAAAGGTCCCGGGTAGTGGCCGTGCTTGAGCAGGTTCCAACGCCGCCCCTCGACGCTGCACAGCTCCGCGACCTCCTCCTCCTCCTCGTCCAGCCTGCGCCGCGCGGCAGCCGCGGAGCGCTGTGCGCGCCGGCCGAGGCCAGCAGAGTGGGCTCGGCCCAAGAGGTCCGCTTTGCAGCGACGCCGCTCTCGTTGGACTTGTGGGAACGTGCGCGTCGGGGGCTCGCGGCCCTGCGTCGAGAGGTGGCTGACCAGGCAGTCGGCGCCGAGGTCAATCTCGAGCAGTGCGCGGCCGACGCCGCCGTGCTGAGCGACGTCCCACGCGGCGCCGCCAGGGCGGCGCACCGTGGGGAAGGCTCGCAAGGATCGGCTCCCACCGACGCGCACGGGCGTCAGCAGACTGCCCCGCACGCCAACCGGGGGCTCGGTCGGAGGCTCGGCGAAGAGGACGGGGCGCTTGCCGTTCCTCAACGAGTAGATCTTTCCGTCGGTCCTGAGCTGACGGCGGTCTCGGCGCTGCCCCGACACCTCCGCCCCAGCGTCGGCCACCACCTCGACGACCGGCTCGAGCGCGAAGCTCGTCTCGATGAGCCCGTTGCTCCTCTTGTGGACGCGCGGCGGCGCGATGGCGCGCTCGTGTAGCAGCGCGGGGACGTGCTCCCAGGCGTGGTCGCGGTTGAGGGAGTGGGACGCGTCGCGGCCCTCCAGCTCAAAGTGCGACAGCAGCCGGCGCTGGCACGGATGTGCAAATGGACTGCACGGCATCGTATTGGATGAAGTCAGGCCGCATTCGGTCGCCGGCGAGTAGCGCTGATTGTGCAGCTTGCGAGCGGTCTTGCCGTGCAGCCCGCGCCGCTTGCCGTGCTCAGAGTGCCGCGCGCGGAGGACGTCGGAGAGCGGCTTCTCGTCGTGGTGGTCCTCGTTGGGCATTGAGTGGTTCTTACTTCGGACAGGCTTCGTTCGGACACGGCACGGACGGAGCGGGAGTCCTAGTCACGGCCGATTTCGTTACGTATGGGGGGGGGGGGGGGAGAGAAGAAGAAGAAAATCCCAGTATGCGAGGACGGCACGCCGCCGCCACACAGGGACTTTAAAGAGGAGTGTGGTGCTAGCCGTCGCCCACCCTTGCTCCCTTGGGCGTCTGCCTCTTCCTATCTCTCTTCGCTGTGTCTCGCCAATCTCGCGGCGAACTATGCCTCCTCGCGCTCGTCCCGTGCAAGCCCCGCGCAGAGGTGCGGGCGAGAGGGCGGCCCGAGCCCGAAAGGGCCCGCCCTCGACCTTGCTCTACATGGTAACGGATAAGAAGAGAAACACCCCCGGACCGGGACGCCGGCGGTGGAGTCGGGACACGCTGTGGTTCAGACGTCCCCCCCCTCGACGCAGTCGAGTGACTGACATGAATAGGGAGGAGAAAGTGTCCCCCACATATCACCACAGACGCAGCACAGGGGCTCCAATCCTGTCCGCCGGGGCCTCGGCTAGATCTCCAGTGGGGAGTGTGAGGGCTGGATCGACTGCAGCGAGAGTGTGGGTTGTGGACCGTCGGGATAGCGTGTGGCGTAGATGTTCTCCTGGAAGTAGAGAGGCTGATGTCTCTCGCCCTGCAGGAAGGAGAAACTCGGACGGGAGAGTGAAAACTCCTCCCTGCGGCATGTGCGCAGAACGGGTTGCGCAATGTGCGGCATCGTGTTGAGGGCTCGGGAGGGCAACGACGGCAGCGTTGCCGAGCTTGTACAGGGGCCTCAATCCTGTCCCCGATGGGGTGCGCCTCTCGCCGCGCGCGTAGCAGTCGGCGCGCGGGTAGCCTCAGAGATGCGCAGAGCGAGATGCGGTTATCAGCAAACCAAGCCCTGGGCTTGGATGGGCGCGGCGAAGCCGCGGCGCAGTGGATAGCGTGAAGAACTCGAGAGATCGCTGGGATCTTGAGCCGCCGCTGCCACGTGCAAGCCCCGCGCAGAGGTGCGGGCGAGAGGGCGGCCCGAGCCCGAAAGGGCCCGCCCTCGACCTTGCTCTACATGGTAACGGATAAGAAGAGAAACACCCCCGGACCGGGACGCCGGCGGTCGAGTCGGGACACGCTGTGTGTGGTTCAGACGCGTCCCACCCTCATCGTCCTCTCTCCCCTGCCCCGTCGTCGTGTGGTGTGTGAGAGAGAGAGATTTGTCTCGTGTGTGATTTGTCTCGTGTGAGTATCTTGATAGGAAACGCCTTGGAGCACTTGGAGTGCAGTTATCAACCCCGCGCAGCCTTTTTCTTGTCTGTACAATACCTCGGCAAAGCTCGGAAGGGCCATCAGCAGCGTCGCATCGCCGGGTACGCGAACATATACACACATATGCCCCTCTCCCTGAGTCTGGCCACCCTTTCGCTCGCCTTCCCGCTCCGCGCGCCGCCGCTCCCGCCGCGCGCGCGCGTCGTCGCCTCCGCCGCCTCGGACGACCTCTCCGCGCTCGGCTTCCGCTCCGCCGCCGAGGCGGCGGCGGAGCAGCGGCTGCGGCGCTCGCGGGCAGAAGAGGCGGCTGGCGGCGCGTGCGCCGGCCCCTCCGGCCCCGCCTCGTCCGTCTACCTCGTCGGCGTCGGCCCGGGCGACGTCGAGCTGCTCACCGTCAAGGCCCTCCGGCTGATGCGCGACGCCGACCTCGTGCTTTACGACCGGCTCATCTCGCCCGAGGTGCTGTCGATGGTGGGTCCGCAGGCGGCGATGCTGTATGTGGGCAAGGAGGCGGGGCTGCACACGCGGCCGCAGGAGGAGATCCACCGCCTCCTCCACCTCTACGCCCACGCCGGCAAGTCTGTCGTCCGGCTCAAGGGGGGCGACCCGACCGTGTTTGGGCGGGGCGGCGAGGAGCTAGAGTACCTGGAGGCGCGCGGCGTGCCGGTGCAGATCGTCCCCGGCATCACCGCCGCCTCGGGCATCGCCGCCGCCCTCCGCGTCCCCCTCACCCACCGCGACTACGCCGACTCGGTCCCCCGCGCGCCTCTTTTCTTGCGCCCGCTCTCTTGGGCCCTTTCCACAAAGACGCTTGCCGGAGCCGTCCTGTAGGTCCGCTTTGTGACCGGGCACGCGCGGTCGGAGAACTCCGCGCCCGTGGCGGAGCGGTATCGGTGGGAGGTCCTCTCCGACCCCTCGCAGACGCTCGTCGTCTACATGGGCCTCTCGACCCTGCCGCAGTTTGCAGACGGCCTGCTGCAGGCCGGCCTCGACGCGTCCACGCCGGCGGTCGCAGTGCAGGACGGCACGACGGCGACGCAGCGCGTGGTCGCGGCGCCGCTCGGCGGACTCGCGACCGCCGTCGAGGAGGCGAGCCTCGCCTCTCCCACCCTCGTCGTCATCGGGCGCGTCGTCTCGCTGCTGCGCGAGGCCGGCGCCGGAGAGCTCGCCGCCGCCGCCGCCGCCGCCGCCTCCGCCGCCGTCTCGGAGGCGGACACGCTGCCGGAGCCGACTGCCGCCGCGGAGGAGGCTCGCGCGCTGCTCGACTCGCTCAAGGCAGGGGGGCGGCTGCGGTGATGCAGCTGTGAAGAAGATTCGAGGCGCCGCCTGTATGATTCGATCTCGGGCGAGGCGCACCTCGAGACCCCTTCTCTGCCGCCGCGACTTGACGTTGGTCACCGCCGCACCCGACGGGCCGCTCCGCTCCCGCTGTCTGATCGAGAGCGACAGCGAGATTGGCCGTTCAGTGGCGGACAGACTCTCGGAGAGGAGAAGAAGGTTTCCAGTTCATAGCGGAGAAGTGACAAGTGTGCGGCGCCGGGGGCCCCTGGGCGCTGGGGGATCACGTGTAGATTTGAGTTTGACTGAACCCGTGTCTTCTAGCTGATATCGTATTGCACGTACGAAAACACAGACCCAAGGGCGGTATATAACACATGAGTAGTCAGGGTTGACGGCACAGGCGACAGGGCCGTAGGGCCCGGGCCTTCCCCGCGAGCAGGAAAATAAAATCAGGCCGTTCTCCGCGCGGCCCCGCCGAGGCAGAACCAGCAGCGCACGAGCAAGGCAAAAGAGCAAGGGATGGTGGTCGATCCGGGTGCGAGGGTTGAGGCACAGCCGAGCAAGAGGCACCTCCACACGAACGGGACAGCCGCTCACTCCGCACCTGTTGTTTGTCGTCGTCTCTCTCTGCGCTACCTCCGTGCACTGCGCAAGGCGTCTGAGCGATCTCTAGCATCCTACCCCTTCCCCCTCCCTCACGAAAAGGCGGAGCCGGAAGAGCGGTCCTGCGGGGCGGGGTGGGGGGCGTGAGGGCGGCGGCGGGGCCGGGGCGGCGGCGCGCACGCGGCGAGAGGTTGCCTGCCCCATCATCACCTCGGAAGCCTGGTTGATTTTCGTGGCGATGAAGGGCGAGCCTCCTCGGTCCGGGTGGTTGAGCAGCATGATTTTGCGGTGCGCGTCCTTGATCTGCGCCTTCGTGGCGCTCTCTCGGATGCCTGCGGCGGCGCAGGGGCAGCGCCGCTCGACGCCGACGAGGCAGGGCGGGTGCAGTGTCCGGGCGAGTCGAGGGGAAGGGCCGGTCCAAGCGCGCGGGCCCCGGCCGCACCGAGGATCTGCGACGCCTCTCTCCGGCTCATATTGGCCTCGAAGCCGCACGCGGACCCGCCGCGCATCTCATTCACCCGGTCCATCAAACTCGACAACCTGCGCGGGGCGGCGTCGGCCTTGGCTGGCACGCTTGATTGGCAAGCGCTCAGCAGCAGGAGCATGGAGCGGCGATGTGGGATCTAAGAGCCGTGGCGCGAGAGCTCACCGGAACTTGTCCCCCACCGCGCGAAAGCCAGCCGCTGCCGCCTGCATGTTCTTCATCGTCTCTGGATTCTTCGCCAGCCGCTCTCCCATGACGAGCGCGCCGCGCGCGGCATACGCGCAGGCGGCGACACCGCAGCCCACGAGGAACGGAGTCGCCTAGACTCGATCACAGGCTCGTGCGGTGTGGGCGAGGGGCGGGTGGATGGGGACCGCGTCGCACCATGTCCGTGCAACAACACCGCGATTTTTTTTTAGTTTAGAGACCCAAGCCCGCACCGAATAAATAAAAAACCGAAGCAGTGAGAAGAGCGATTGCCATGGGGTGTCGTCTTGTTTTGTTTCCGAAAAAAAACAACATTTTCGGACTAGCCGACGGCCATGTTGGGCGGAGGTTTCCGCCGCGCCGCCGGCCTGGCCCTCGGCAGCGGCGCGTTGCTGGCCGCCCACTCGCGGCTCGACGACCGCCGCGTGCCTTCATCGTGGCCCGTCCGGTCTGCGGCGGCGTGCGAGGCCGCGGCGAGCGAGCTGCCGACGTTCCGGCGCGATGACGTGGCAAAGCACGCGGGCGGCGACGCGGGCGTGTGGGTGATGCTCGGCAGCCGCGTCTTTGACATCACGCACTTCATCGAGAATCACCCGGGCGGCATGGACAAGATCATGATGGCGGCGGGCAAGTCGCTGGAGCCCTTCTGGGCGCTCTATCGGCAGCACGTGGAGAGGGCGGGCGAGGACGGGAGCATCGAGGCCAAGGAGCACGTCGAGCAGCTGCTCCAGGAGTACCAGATCGGCTGGCTGCACCCGGACGACGTCAAGGAGGCCGCCGCCTGCGCGCGCGCCGCCGACGACCCGTACGCCAACCAGCCGGCGAGGCACCCGGCGCTCAAGGTCCTCTCCGAGATCCCCTGCTCGGCGGAGCTGCCAGCGAGCCTGATGATGGACTCGTGGCTGACGCCCGCGCCGCTGTGGTACGTGCGGCACCACCACCCCGTCCCCGACCTCGACGCCGACTCCTTCCGCCTCCGCGTCCACGGGCTCGGCGTGCAGGACAGAGAGTACTCGCTCGCGCAGCTGCAGGCGCTCGCCCAAAAGGCGGAGGTGGCGGTGACGGTGCAGTGCGGCGGGAACCGGCGCGGCGAGTACAACGACGTTCGCAAGACCTCGGGCAGACCCGCCCCGCCCTCTCCCCCCCCCTTCCTCCCCCCGCACCTCAAGCTCCCCGCCCCTTCCTCCCCCCGCGAGCCTGCAGGCAACGAGTGGGGCACGGGCGCAATCTCAAACGCCCGCTTCGGCGGCGTGCGGCTCTCGGAC